TTATTGCATTAAAGTACTTTCTTTGCTCTTTCGATAACTGCATCAACGTTCTCTTTGAAAGATGGTCCACTGTGAAATGTAACACCTAAATATTTAAGTGTGTTTTTTCTTCTGGCCACTCTTCTATTTATTGTGATCCTGGGGACATGTGCTCTGCTACCCAGTTAACAATCCACGGACAGACTTGCATGTGTAGAAGGGTTGCTTATCTGACTCTGTAAGCATGTCTCAAGATCAATTGCTACTGCAATTGTGTCTCTTCAGTTTTAGAACCCTCCATATACGTCATAGGCAAATACTACTGCATTCGTCCAGGTATCCTTTCTTGGTCGGTAGCTGCCTTGTCATTCTGGAGACAGTTGTTTTTTCCCAGGAACTTTTGTAGCCTGTTAGCTTGTTTTTCCAGGAACCCCTGTAGCCTGTTAGCTTGTTTTTCCAGGAACCCCTGTAGCTTGTTAGCTTGTTTTTCCCAGGAACCTTTGTAGCCTGTTAGCTTGTTTTTCCAGGAACCCCTGTAGCTTGTTAGCTTGTTATTCCCATGAACCTTTGTAGCCTGTTAGCTTGTTTTTCCAGGAACCCCTGTAGCCTGTTAGCTTGTTATTCCCATGAACCTTTGTAGCCTGTTAGCTTGTTTTTCCAGGAACCCCTGTAGCCTGTTAGCTTGTTATTCCCATGAACCTTTGTAGCCTGTTAGCTTGTTTTTCCAGGAACCCCTGTAGCTTGTTAGCTACTATCTTCTCAAGAAAAGAAAATCAAGTAAGTTCCTAATATTTTATACAGATATAAACAATTCTTCTTTTGTGTTAACCCTTGAAAAAGGTGGTTGGCATACTGCATTGCAGTTTGCGGCAAGGCTGCAATATATGTGCCCATCACATGTGGTCTCGGCAAACTCTGATTAGTTGTCTTCTATAACATACTAGTTAGGGGGCAGTCAGCCTATATTCTTCTTTTTCTTTTTCTGCCCAAAATGAGGCCCCAGAACCAACAAAGTACATATAAATCATAAAATTCATACTAAACAGCTATAAACTACAAGTTCTCATAAATGTGTATAGACAACATTAGTAATTATGACAAAAATATATGTAATTAAACAATGATACAATAATAACATGATCAAAAAATTCGGATAAACTGATATAATTTTCCGGACACACATCTTTACCTTGTACATAAAAGCCCTCCATGGTAAATGAGCCACAGACTTCAGCTAGGGATACAAATAAATAAATCAGAGTTAAAAAGTGACTGAGTGGAACAAGTTCGGATCTGACTCAATCCAAGTAAGAAAGAAAAATATGACAGAAAAAAACATGATATTGTCTGTTCATGATCTCTAAACCATGTGAGGCAAACATCAGTCCACAGTTTATGATTTAGAACTTGCAAGAATTCTATAATGTTCTATTTAGCCATATCTCTTCTGACATTGACAGAGCATACATATATAGGGACTGTCAAATATTAGACCTAAGGTGTCTCCATGATACATCTTTTGATATACTCACCAGATGTAAATGACGATGTCCCTCCAGCATCTAATTTGCTCTACAAGTTTGGACCCTCCGGCATGTCATGATGCCTTTCCAATATCTAAGCTGCTCTACAAGTTTAGATTCTCCCACTTGTGATGTCCTTCAATATTTAAAATGCTCTAGAATTTGGACTCTCTGGCATGTGATGGTGTCCCTACAGTATCTAATCTGCTCTACAAGTTTGGACTCTCTGGCAAGTGATGGTGTCCCTCCAGTATCTAATCTGTTCTACAAATTTGGACTCTCCAGCATGTGATGGTGTCCCTCCAGTATCTAATCTGTTCTACAAGTTTGGACTCTCTGGCAAGTGATGGTGTCCCTATCTGCTCTACAAGTTTGGACTCTCTGGCAAGTGATGGTGTCCTTATCTGCTCTACAAGTTTGGACTCTCTGGCAAGTGATGGTGTCCCTATCTGCTCTACAAGTTTGGACTCTCCAGCATGTGATGGTGTCCCTCCAGTATCTAATCTGTTTTACAAGTCTGGACTCTCTGGCATGTGATGGTGTCCCTACAGCATCTAATCTGTTCTACAAGTTTGGACTCTCTAGCAAGTGATGGTGTCCCTCCAGTATCTAATCTGCTCTACAAGTCTGGACTCTCCAGCAAGTGATGGTGTCCCTCCAGTATCTAATCTGCTATACAAGTCTGGACTCTCCAGCACGTGATGGTGTCCCTACAGTATCTAATCTGTTCTACAAGTTTAGACTCTCTTGCAAATGATGGTGTCCCTCCAGTATCTAATCTGTTCTACAAGTTTAGACTCTCCAGCACGTGATGGTGTCCCTACAGTATCTAATCTGTGTCTATTGCAGATGCTGGAAAATTATTTTTGTTGTTGTTGTCCGCAAGTAAAATTTAGAATTACTGACCTGGTCACAGGCAATACAGAAAAATTCCTTATTATAAACATAACACCAGGATTACCTCGTAACACAATATTTTTGGGGGATAATCTAAGATTATTTTTCCTTCGCTACAGCTCTGACCAGACATACCCTTTTATATATTCTTTCTTTCTGCATATGCTTTTGTGTTCTGCTATTTTGTGAGCTCAAGGGCCAAAACATAAAATAACTTCACACCAGCCTTGTGGGTCCGTAAAAACTGCTTGGTGGGCCAGTTTTGGCCTACGGGCCATAGTTTCCCTACCCCTGATCTATATTCTCATCATACTGACATATAAAGCCTTCACAAGAGATCTCCCCTGCTGCTGTTCCGCTGATTTTCTGCATTTGGTATCCTACATACGTTCACACATCTTAACTTTCCTTTTTTATTGTTTTTCCTACATGTTTGCTTAGGTTGCCTAATGTCTCCTTTTCCTGCTCACACAGGACAGCGGGTCACTTCATTACAGTAGGGTGTCTGAGATTTGCTCTTGTTTGCCAGATAGTAGCTCACTGGGCATTAGCTGCAAGCCCAGAACAGGAAAATTAAAACATGTCAGATGTATATCCAACTGTGTGTGGCAGGGGTAGTTACTATATGTGATATCTGCCGAGAGACAGTACTTATGGATATGTTTAAAAAAAATAACCCAGAATATGAAAATTTACACATTGCAACTGAAAATTTCAAGCTGCTTTGATCTTAACCTTGTCCAATGAGTCAAACATAAAATATAAATTTATAAGATCTGCCTATAATTTTAAAAGCATTTTGTAATTGTACACACACAAGCACAATGAACCTTTTCTAAAAATAACAGCTCATAAATATTGCACAATAAATAGGGAATTCAACAAATTAGGGACACACAAACTGTTTCGTGTTCTTGTAATTTATTCCAGTTTTTGTTGTTTGTTACTGCAGGCTTCATATATTTACAGGATGTTAATATTTTCATACATCTGCTGCTTTTAATATCTTACTTACTTACTTTGTCGCTCCTTTTCTACCTTGGGGTGTAGAGGTTTGCCAGAGAGATCGCCAGACGTCTTTATTAGCAGTTTTCTGTCTGGCTTTGTTCAATTCCAGTCCTCTGTTAGGAACTGTCAGATGTTGTCTTCCCAGCGCACCCTGGGTCGTCCTGGAGGTCTGGTTCCCTGGTTCTTAGCTTCCCATGTCTGCCATGGTGGCCGATTTTCTCCAATTCTGCATATATGTCCTGACCATCATAACTGTGACTGATCCACTCGGGTTTGTAAGGACTGGGTTCAAAATCTTGATGTATTGTCTGATTGTGGACTTTGTCCCTTCTTGTCACTTGGACCACCTTTCTCAGGTATCTCATTTCCGAGGCCTGCAGCTGGCTTCTGTGAGCTGTTGTCATTGATCATGACTCACATCCATAGGTCAGGACTGGTACATAGGTAGAGCGGTAAACAGCCATTTTCGTCCTCTTGCCAACTTCTCTTTTGCTAAAAAAACCCTCAGTTTATGGCCTGGAAGAGTCTCCCAGCAGCTGCTTTTCTTGTAGCCAGCTCAGTCTTAATGCCTCCGTTTTGGTCTAATATGCTTTTAATATCTTGCCATGATTAATTTTCATTTTTCTGCTGTCTTTCGCACATACAGGTACCTATGATGCTAGTAGATTAAATTTCTCAGTAACTTTAAGTGTATTTTCATAGCCATACATTAAGAATGTTTGAAAGCAAAATTTAAGTTTTTTGGCCATTTAACGGATGCACATTTAAATGAGATGGCATTTTCATTCTAAGAGCACTTTTATTTAAGCAAATATTTATAATCATTGTTGCAGTTTCTTCATTCAAAAAATTATTTTGATTTATACTGGCCAAATTTTGCATTTTTATGGTGAAAATAATAGAAGACGACTCTTATTTTTTAAAATTCACTTTTGAGCAAGTGTATGGTTGTTCTTATTTCACTTTTATGAAGCATAAAGCGGCTTAACAAAGTCTACATTTTGTTTCTTCAGGAGAATCTTGCCAAATGTTTACTCTTGCGACTCATGCACTAGTCAGGGTAGTGCAATGGCTACATGCTTATCTCCTGACCCAAAGATTCGATGTTTGAATTTGCACTGAAACAAGATCTTTAAAACTGATACGATGACCTGGGCTCACAGACAACCTGAAGTGGGTACCAGGAAATAGCTCAGGAAACAAAAAGTGTATGTGATGCTGACGACCTCACATATGCTCAGATAAATGGTCAATAAAAATATGGGTATAAGAGGACATACCTAAGCAATTAGTGATATTAAAAGAATCCTGTATTTGTTTGACAAACAATGCAACCCCTCTAACAGACAGATTATTATGGTCAGAGGGGAATGGCACTGCAAGAAGTTACAAGGGGATCTGGCCGAAGCTTGACACTTAGGGGAAAGGCAAGACGGGTATAATACAATCAGACAGTTGCTGGTACCATCGGAATTTTAACTCTTCACTTGCTGCTGAAGATGGGGGCGGAGTGCTTGTGAAGGTGTCCCAAGTGCTGTGATGTCGATTCTTAATTCAACATTTAACATTCAACATGTGTGGTTAACAAATTACCTTGTAGTTAACAAACAGCTGTGGTAGCATGAACAAGAATCCAAATGCATAGACACCTGGGGATGAGAGCAGGTCACACAAATCAAATCATTGTGAATATCAATATCTTGTATAAGTTTATCACACGCTAATTCACATATAATAAGTGAGTAAAGTAACAGAACCTTTTACAGCCAGTGACACATCAGCCACATGATACTAGACCCGTCTGTTTACAGATCTGCAGGCATTTGGTGGGTGATATGGTCAAAATCCTGCTGGTCACCTTTACTTCCCGGGACATTACCCAGTAACCATTTTAGGCACAAGCTGGAGGCAAGGTCAATTTAGGACAAATCTGCCTTGATGTGGATTTGAACCCAAGACCTTCTGGGAGGCAGGCAGGTGAGCATCTAGCCACTACTCTACCAGGGCTTTCATACCACTCCTATTGGTAAATGAGTAAATGAAAAATTAAAAAAATCTTGTTTCAAACTGCCAGTTGTGTTGGATAAGAACATATTTCATTAGAAGTATTTGCATTCCGCTGTTGAGAAGAAAAAAGGCTGATAAAGTGCCATCCACACATCAAGGTTCCAATGTGTCTAAATCGACCTCTACGGTCTTTTCTCTCCTCCAGTAAGACTTTAGAATCTGAGTGTCTGTGGCTTCTTAGTTAACTTTCTTTGGCATTCTGCTTGCTGCTGAATCTTCCTTGTTTGCTGTCATCTTCATTAGTGGGGTATGTAGTGATAACAATGTATCCCCTACTGCCTGGTGTGATAGTATGCAGGTGGTGTCCATGGCAAAGTGGTCAAGTTATGGATGAGTTCACAGACTGTTTTGTTTCACGGGTTGAGTTCTTATGGAGATCCCTGGGGATCATCACTGGAGTCTGAGCTTTGAGGGGTGTCCCAGCAGCCGGCTAGAGTTCTGCAGAGACAGACCGAGCTATATGGAATAAAACCTGGTGCAGTGAAGTTCATCCTTTTGATTTTAACTTTTAATGGACAGTACGCAAGGTATATTTGTGGTATACCTGAAGAGGAGATGGCCAATTCACTCTTAAATCTGCAAACACAATAATGGTTGTTAACGCACACATAGCCCCATCACAATACAACCCATTTTTGGGTTAAAATGTACTTTAAAAAAAAAATTTTTTAGGGTGTGTGTTTGCTATGCCGCTGTAAGAGCTATACTGTCCAGGCTTTGTTCTATGGAGGGCAGGGAATTCATGCCTGACCTTAATTGATCTTGGTCCCTAAGGACTTCCTCTATGGTAACTTAGATGGGTAGAAGATGTCCAGGTTGGTCTCTACAACAATATAAAGATGTGTGCAAACAGGGACATAGATGACACAGGACCAAGTTAGATGTATGGCGAAAATCTGAAAGGGAATAGGGATAAAGAAGAAAATAACTGCATTAAGGTTAATAAGAGTTTAGCATCTGCGAAGAAGAATGTTAAATTCATGCAGAGGCCCTTAAAATTCACACAGACTTTTCTTAAAATCGGTGGGTCTCACTAGTCACTCTCGCCATTGTCATGGGCTGTCACTCCCATGCCTCATCATAAAACAATATAAACATTATCATCCGAAAAGGCAAAAAATTGCCAACAAATAAGATCAAACTTGTATGATGCATTTAGCGTTAAATTCTACACACTATTTTATATGTTGCATTTTATGTGTTACACCCTGTTATATTTTATGTGTGAAATGTTGGGTTATATTTTATGTGTTACATTTTATGAAAGTCGCTGTGGTGTAGTGGATAGATTCGCCTGCAGATCAGAAGGTCCCGGGTTCGGGTCCTGGCAGAGCTGGATTCTTCAAAAAAGGACCCTCATTGCAACAGGCCTTCGTGTGCTTTGATTATAACATGGTCAACATGTTCTTTGAAGGACAGGCTGCAGTCTAACCTCACTCTGAGGTATGTCATCAGATTTGTTCTCGTCAAAATGTCCTCGCTGCTTTCCACTGCTGGTAAGTCTGCCCTTCACTATATGCGTGTTCAAGGAGAACCACATTACTGAGGCCTTCAAAGGGTTGACATAAGCATTAGAATCCGCACACCAGGAGGAGATGCAATCAAGTTCCCTCTGCATTAAACTGGCAATCTCTTGATGATCTCTTCCATGTCGATATATCAAAACGTCATCAGCAAATGACAAGGTCCTGCTACATTCTATTTACTGCATTCCCCGTGTTAAAGCCTAAACTTTGTGTTCTACATGTTACATTTTTCAGGCTACATTTTACAAATGACATCCTACATTTGTGTATATGCCAAATTACAGGATCTGTCTCATTTGAAGTTTCAAAAATGGTTAGCATCTGTGGCTTAGGAGTTATGAATGCAGTTTATAACTCTGAAATACCTGCGAGCGATTTGGCAACAGACCACTTTGTGTTGATCTAAACAATGGTATAGAGAACTAACTATTTAGAAAGCTATAGAAAACTACTGAATTAAAAATTTCCCAGTAAAACCCCAAAAAAAATCAAATCAACTGATGAGCAACTTATAAAAATATTTTAAAAACCCAGCTTACCATTCACTAAACTGTTGATGCTCCATGAATACCAACTGAAATATAAAGATAACCTAAAATGAGACATCTTACAGGCATATGTTATCAGTTATGAAGAACTATTATAACTGTTACAATGAGCAGCACTCCTTAAAAGCAGTGTACACCTTAGCAATAAACTGCATATTTATAACAAATAAACAACTAGTTCACAAGAAAATACATACTCCGAAACAGTACGATACTAAATACTGGCTTATTTAATTAAAGAAACAGTAATTTCAGGCATGGTCCCTGGAAGAATCAACAATCAACTAACACAACTGTCGGTAGAGAATATTAAAACTATCTTATGCATGAAAATGCAGGAAGAAGGGAAACTAGTTAAAGACCAACAGTTTTTCCACTAAGATATGAAGACAGCAACATTCTTCAAAGGACATGACACATGATGATGATTCTGAGAAGAGACAGGCAGGCACCTGTCAAGCCCATTTCTGTCCCCTTGAAACTGTATCTTGGTCAGAGTACATCAAGTGTTTTTATCATACTACCCCTGCAAGCCATGGCTAGGTTGTGAGCTCAGAAAACTGTTAAACAAGAGGCAACCGTGTGTGTGTGATAAACATTAAAATACATATAAATGTTAAATCGTTTCAAATACAAACAGGCTATCTTCCGAATAACGGTCCCAAATTATCGAGGCAGAAAATATACCCTAACAGAGCCTCAGTCACGTGTCAAATGCGCACTTCCGGCAACTTACATTACGCAATTCAGGCGACTTGTGCCACCGCCGAGAATATCCCCCACGCCGCTCACATGGTGTGGATTGGGGCTAAACTAGATGGCTGGGACTCACGGGCAGCAGCTACCGCATTTCCTGCAGCTGCCTTCATTTTATTTGCTTGTGAGTCCCAGCCATCTAGTTTAGCCCCAATCCACGCCGCATGAGAGGCGTGGGGGATACTCTCGCGGTGGCGGTTTAGTCCCTGGAAGTACGCAATTCGGCGATGGCGGTCTAGTCCCCGGAAGTGTGCAATTGACACGTGACTGAGGCTCTGTTAGGGTATATTTTCTGCCTTTGGGACCGTTATTCGAAAGATAGCCGACAAACACATTTTCACAGAGTATTCTTTGTAACACTAAAGTCTTCATCTGTTCTTTATTAACCCCCTTCCCCACTTTTGTCCCCCCTTCAATCAAGCATAAGCCCTCAACCAAGTCTTCCTATCATTTGTTATCATGTGCATGCCCTCCTCATCTTATTCACTCAACATCCCCCCCCTCTCTCTCTCTCTCTCTCTGTGGTTGTGTGTGTACATGTGTGTGCGAGCATGCATGCATGTATTTTTGTTGTTCTTGTTGGTATCTATTTTTTGTGTGTGTGGTCCCAGTGGGTTCTCACACAGAGACATTCTAGACTTACGAGGGTCAGGTTTTTCTCAATGTGTGTCCCATCTAGCACCTTTTCCTTGCTGGCATTCGTTTAATTCCCTCCCAAAGCTATATGTTACAAAAGTGGTCTATATTATACCTCACAATGGCATGAAAGTGGAATCATTTACCTTTTCAACTAAATCTTAAAATAATTCTTGCAAATGAAAAGTAGATCAGCGAACTTCACAATATAATAAACACAAATGGAAAGTGAATGTTGTGGTTGCAAACCCTTCATTAACACATTACACAAATCGAAAAAACCACACGAATACACAAAATCCCTTAACTGATGTAACCAGAAGCAGCCACGTTGATGTCTTGCCAGTGGAATGAAAAGACATGTCTGGCCCAAGAATAAATGGCCTGAGAATGCCAAGGGCTGTAACTCGAGAATTTAGATGAAACTGTGTTGACAGTTCAGTCCCCTAGAAATTTGCATACACAAGGTAAAATAAAGCGGTTTTCAAGGGACTTACAGACTATGTTACTGGATTGGCTAGATTTAAGGCTACCTCCTTTATTGCAGACACTTTGGTGATCCTGAGAGCTGAAATGCAATGGTACTGGTTTCAGGGCACCTGTCTGCACATCCAAAGATGTCTGAACCTGTCAGCCAGCTGCAAACCCATTTTACCCATGTATTTCATGCCATATCTCTTGCAGTTGATGGCGTAAATGACATAGGGCTCATGCAACAGAACGCCTCACGTACATGGAAGGTGGCAATAGAAAATTCTAGACTATTTTCCTGAACCACATATGGACAAGTCTTGCATGCAGGTCTGTGGCAGGAGACCATGACTGAGTGGGACTCAGACGTATCTGACTCCTGACCAGAAAGTCCTTAAGCATATGGTCATGTCTGTAGGCCACTAGGGAAAGTTTGGAGAACCGTGCTGGTGGCAAGGTCAGCCCTTAGGACAGAGAGATGCCTGAGGAGACACAGATGTTGTGAGGGTGAAGAGAAAAGGAGCAGAAAATCATACATCATATAATGACTCAATGACAACAGGATTTATCAACCAAACACTACCACATCACAGCAATGTCTAAGTCACAAACCTTTTATGTTGCACATATATTAGTGAGTAGACTGCTCCTCCTAGACACAATGGATACAGTACATATGACAAGTACTTCATTGCCTGCAAAACAAGAATCAACAAGAAATGAAGATCTTCCGATTTTGGATAATAAAATACTCTGGAAAACTGTCAGATATATGGGGCACACAGAATATTATGTTATGTTATCACAGTCGATGTCATTGCACAATGAGCATTCCCATGCATGTTCAGTTCTCTGATTGAGCAACCACCCAAGGTACTTCTTCTGGCTAGCTATTCCCATGAAAAGTTGGTTGCTGTCTCCTATCTTGCCCTCAGAGATGGCACCAGTGTGCTTCACCAGGCTTTTCTCTACAGTAACAAAATCAGGCTAGTACAAGAGATATCTGTCTATGATGAAATATCCCTGTTTGGTTTCAGAGCCTCATTATGAGTGGGTGGGGGGGGGGGGGGAGAGAACAGACCCACTCCACTGCTAACAAGTATGTCCTTTGAAGTCAGAGTGCATCTGCCTGAGAAGCAAGGAACCAACAGTCTGCATATAAATGGGCCAGATCTATAAAATGAATTTACACACAAAACTCAAGTTCTGGGACAGGACCACCAAAGTCCATAAGTGGACAAACAACCAGAACTTTCTGCTAGAGTTTACAGCTGCTGTGTATATGAATGTCCAAGATGTCTCCAACATCCTTGTGTCCACCTTGTGTATGTCAACTCTTACCTCTTCCCCCAGGATCCATGTCTTACATTACTGTTCTTTCAAAGCTACTGATTTATTCATGACAAGCAAGATATTATGAATGTCCTTTGGGAGTGAATAAACAGTCCACAGGCACTAACAGATCATCACAGCCTGAAGAGAATGGTGGCACGGGAAGTGACCAGGCAATCTGGCCAACACTCAAAGGAAAGGCAAGATGGACATACTAATGGTACCATCAGAATCGAACTCTGTGCCGGCCGATAAAGATGGGGACAGAGTGCCTATGGAAATATCTCAAGAGCAATGTCGGTTCTTAAATCAGTTCAACTTAACTACAAGTTACTGTGCTGGTTAACAAGATTCTTTTTTTTTTCATAACTTCTTGCACTCAAATATTCAACACAGCCTCGATTTTCATCAATGCTTTGCATCTAAGCTATTTTGTATTGTTACATTAGGAACATCATAAGTAAGGGATAATTGGAGTGTGTCATGACAACAGAAAAGGATGAGACTCAACGAAACACCAAAACAGAAAATGCTGGACAGTCTGGAAGAACATCTATATTAGAAGTGATTGGCAGTAAATGAGATAGAAGGCTGTGGATAGACATGATGACCAATACCACACAACATGGACTCTAAACAGACCATTTGCCAATTTAGTTCATCATACTTTGTTAGCTGCTGCCATAATACTATACTATACAGATTTTTGTTTCTTATAAAAATCACATAAATTCCTTATTTACTCATCAGTGACTGGGTCGCCCACTGGCTGGCAGGTAGACAACTTTGTCGCCAGTCAGGACAGTATTTGGGTCTATCTACTCCGATCCCATCACCACTGCAGGAGTCCTTTTTAGGGCTCTTGGTCGTGTGCAATCCTAAGCCATTTTATATGGTGCACATAACCTAGTCACAATTCTAATCTAAAGCTCCTCCTTTTTGGATGCTGGTTGAATGTGACGATTTATTGCTCTCTCCAGCAAAGCACTTAAGACCTTATTTACTGTCTTCATATAGCTCTACATGACACCAGTTACTTCTCACTCTAATAGATTTATTTACTTGTGTCTGCTGTAATTTCTTTCTTACTCTTTGTTCATACTATCATCATAAGAGATCTTTTATATAGCTTTTTTTTCTTTATTTTTCTTCTTTTGACATCTCACTTATACCAGGTCAGGTTGTAGCCCAGTGTCGTATGCTTTTTGCGTATTAATGTTTTAGTCAGTATATTATCAACTTTGCTTCGCGGCCCCTAGGTGGCTTACTTTATCAAATGTGTATACTTGTGAGTCCCTATGTCTGACAATTGTTTTTGTTATGATGATAAATGTTTCCAAGCATGTGACATTACTAATACTTTTGTATATTCATGCTGAATAAACATAACTGAGAAAACAAAAATAAACTGAAGTAATGCATTTGTAAGATTACCTGAGAATCAAAGGATTCCGTCTCTTTCTCCTTTTCACTTCTGGCACCAAGCTTCACAGAATAAAATATCAAAAACATATTTAAAAAAAAAAAAAAAAAAACTTAACATTGAATAGTACAGTCATACAACAGTTTACATAAAATATATATTAATGCAAATAAGGTAGCAAAATCCAGTTAAACTATAATGTCAATACTTATGGCCAGAATTTGTTTTTGTTGTCTTTGGATTCAATCCTGGTATTACACCAGCTTATGTCCAACACAACTTTCTCATTATGTCAATCATGCTCATGATATGTATTCTGTCTTCTTCTTCGTCTTTTGTCCTACAGTTTATGTCATAAAGTTTCATAAAGAGAAGTCAGATTTAGTTTTTTTGTATTTTGCTAGTTGCGTAGCTTGTGTTAATGTCATACTGCATTTCTGTAGTGCCCCTTTTACACGCTCCACCCATCTCTTTCTTGATGGGCCTCTTGACTTGTAGCCTGTTAATTTCATGCAGTATGTATTCTGTAAAGACATTTATGTTGCAAATTTTCTGTTGAGGAAGACTAACTGGAGAGATTTTATAATGATAATTACAATGTTTCACTAGGTAGAAGTTTTCTTCTCCTTCTGCCTTTCAGCTCCAAAGGGAGCAAAGGCCCTCGACCAATTCATGTCAATCCCTTTGTAAACTTGTTCACCGTCTTCTTGGCATTTGTCACAATACGATCTCAGTGGTTCCAGAAGTTAGTACTTGTAATAAGTTCTTCTGGTTCTAAAGAGAGAGGATTATATTTACTCTGTCCTTTACCCTAATATTACTTTAAACCAAATTGATTTAAATGTTTCCAGTCCTTAGTCCAGACCAAGCGACTGAGTCTTGGGTAATGTTACGCAATTACACCGGGACTAGAGAATTTCCTTTCACACGCCAGTGTCAGAATGTTATCTCCTAACACAGAATGAGTGGGGCCCTTTTGAACAGGTGAATTGAGTAGACGCTAGACATTGTGGAGCCGGGAGGTCGGAGTTTCGCAAGTCAGTGTAATTCTTGGCAGAACAGGTGTTTGGCAATTAGGAATGTTTGATCTGGGTCAAGTGGGAAACACAATGGCTTCACGGACCGTTTTCATACCGGCTAGTTAGATTCGTTGTAAACTAGATTGGGTCACTTGAGAATGTTCGCTCTAGGGATGTCAGTCCAGAATTGACTGACAGGCCACTTGTTAGCTAACTTGATCTGATAGTTACCTCTGAGGCGTGGCTTAAGTAATCGTCTTGAGGGTTGGGTAGAACGGAGTAAAGGGAGGAGTTTAATTTGGACAATAGATTGATACTTATACTTCGAGCTTGGGAATTCCCGTCATTAATCGCAGCCTGCCGGCAAACAAACACAGATCAACGTGAAGGTAATTTTACGGTCGCATTCTGGTTTGGCGATTGATGGAAAGTTCCCAGGTAAGAGAAAATATTAATTTTTATCTTGTATACATAGGTTAGGGAGTTAAGCTTAGTCTATACTACCTTTTCCTAATTTGTCTGCACATTCTGCTTGAAATAGTTCTTTGTGAGTATTCAGTATCTCAGTTAGGGAACTGCTAAACTATTCCTATTTCTTGTATGTTTGTGTCACATGTTTTTCATTGTATGTTTTCATGTGTATAAAATAAGATGTGAACAATGACATTTGCTATAATGAAATGTAATTATATTGTTTCCATGATCAGCCCAAAATATGAGTTTGGACTGTGGGAAATCATGCCCAAATGTGCAGGGATGCTGTTACGTTTTGTGTGCCCACCATGTGCTCACTTAAGGTGTTCACCTGAACAGGGGATTTATAACCCCAGGGAAATAATGATGGGTGTACCGTATTTACTGTCACTGAAAGATAATATTCAGGACAGCGTGCACCTATAAAGTGTTGGAGTTTTCAGCACATAACCTGCTCCACGTGGTCATGTAATATCAATGTCAGCCAGTTTGAAGTCTGAGTGATGACGGACAACAGACTTAGAAAGTCAGCTATCATGACATAGCATGAAGAGGGAAGGCAGGATATGTGACGCCCATGTAAGACAAAAGACCTTCAGACTAGACTGGAGAGGATGTGGAATATGAGGAGGAGTGATGGGATATATTTTATTATTATATGTTACAATAATTGATACATGTATTCTTAGTGTAAGTCAAGATACTACACGTATGTGTTTGTTTCCATGATTACAGCGCCCATGTGACGATCAGTCCATGAAAGAGACTACATTGTGTTAGACTCGGCCAGCTGGGAACGAGGTGGGAACCAGGTGGAGAACGAGGTGGGGATGAAGTGGAGAATAAGCTGAAGCAGGCAGAAAACAGGCAAGGAAGAGTTGGACAAGCTTGACAGTTCCTCACGGCTGTCAGAGGCTTATAAGCTAAGTTAACAAATTTTGACTTAACCTACCACCATCATCATACCACTCTAAACCCCGGAGCTGTTTTTCTCGCTGAAGCTTATCACTATCATCAAATTAACCAGTCACTGTTTGTGTAAATCAACAAACTGGGAATATCATTGTTAGTAAATAAAGCTGTATGTCAAGTTTTAAACTACATAGTTTGTTAAAATTCCAAATGTCTGTTCTTACATGTTTAATTAAACTGTTAGGATAGAATAACATTTGGTGGGAGCTCAAATAATATAATAATTCTTTAATTATTCATAATAACACCGGGAGAAGGTAGATGACGGAGGAATCATTTGCCCTGTCTAATAATTCATTTAATATAATGCTATAGACATCTAAAATTCCTTGCCTTCTCTTGTGGGTACCAAGTTCAGCTAATGTTAATGTACTTAACGAGCCAATATGGCTGTTTTCTTGGGTATCCAGGACTTTATCTGAGAGCAACATAGCTCAGATTTTAGTTCGGTTAATCTGGTGGAAGGAATGTGTTGAGAAGAACATCCCTACTCACATTATAAACATTTTAAACCATGCGTCACGTCACAGCATTCACTGGCTGTAGACTCTGGCAGAAAGTCCTGGTTGTTCATCCACTTCTGGACTTTAGCTGTGTGTTCACATCTGTTTTTTTTTAGATCAAACTTATTCGAATGCAGACTGTTGGTTCCTCAATGCACTTTGACTTCAAATGAAACACACCTAATTAGTCGACTTTTACAGCATGCTTTCTGGTCTATCCCCCCACCCCCCCTCAAGACCAGTAGGACTGCAGAACCAATGGCGAGCTGGGAGGAAGGGGGAGGGGGGGGGGGAACTAGTTCATGAATAACTGAATTTTGTAGCTAAGATTTTCAAAGATATGAGCCAGTCAGTTTCACACTAAGCCTCCTCAGTCCTCTCTTATGCCAACTTCCTCACCCAGTATGTACGCCTACTTCATTGAAAGAGAGTAAGTATTTTAAAAGAGATGAGGCAGCCAGTCTTGCGCTAACCCTTCTCAGTCCTCTCTTTTGTCAAGTTCCTCACCCAGTATGTACGCCTTCTTCATTGAAAGAGAGTAAGTATTTTAAAAGAGATGAGACAGCCAGTCTTACACTAACCTTTCTCAGTCCTCTCTTTTGTCCGGTTCCTCACCTTTTTCAGCATATGTTTCCTTCTTTTGCATTTACCATTGAAAGGACAGTTGGCAGGTTTGTTTTGTAGTTTACGGCTAGTCTATGATCAGCTAACCAGGTTAAAACTTCCTTACAAATGGGTCACCCCATAGTTGCTCCATTCCTGTGCCAATGAAAGCCACACAGAATGTCCATCACTGTCCTTTGTGAAAAAATTGGCACAGACTGTCATCTCAGCAAAGCCAATTCTATACACAGGCATTCAATGCATAAGCAGATGTCAAAAGTGCCAACAAAAACAGTCCACCATTAGAAATGCATTTCATTGTTGACACATCAGTAGTTGCACACACCATTAACTGCAGAAGGCAGCACCATTTCTCTGGCAAAAGTCTACTCGCCATTTTCTGAATCTGCAGTTCACAAACAACATAAACCACATTCAGCACAGTCGAAAAGCAGTCCAAATGAAAACGGCAGGTCACAATGTTGTGCCATGCACTGAGCTCAGGCTACAATATCTGCACTTATTGATCCAACACATTCAATTTCAGCAAACTCCTGTGACCTTTTACAGCATGCTTGCTAAGGGACAATGTGTCTATTCCTGTCCCCCTAGTGGGGCCATGGAACCCACACTGGGAAAATGCATCTTCTTATTAACTAGCGTACCTGCACTTTTGGTATCAGACCATTCCAGGACACTGTAATCTTCAAAGCTTTGGTAACTTTCCACATCTACACAGAAGAAATACTCTGTCAATGTTACTGTTTAACCTATGATTTATTATCAATAAAGACATGGGATGTATTGCACATCTCTGGACAACCACTAGTATCAACAATCACAAGACAGAGAGGAAAGGGCTATGGTGCACACATTTTGAGAAGAGATAAGCAGAATATTATGAAACAAGCACTGAAATATGAAATGGAAAAGTTGGGGGGGGGGGGGGGGGGGGGGGGAAGAAATCAGGATGTCCAAAAGAAAACCTAAGGTGAATGTTGATGAGAGAAGCCAGATGGTGCCGGACTGCAAATGGTGCCGGACTGCAGATGGTGCCGGACTGCAGATGGTGCCGGACTGAATTCCATCCACAATATTGAAGTGATTGCACAGGGTGGAATGGAAATGAGAAATAGATTGTGGGTCCTATGTGATATATAAATATACAAAACAGAACAATAAATGAATGAATGTTCTGCAGATATTAGTTGTTGATTCTTAGTGAAAAAAATCAGTGTAAAATTCTACAGCTGATGGCCGCTACGATTCTGACATCAAGGATTATTCCACTGTATCATGTTAGGTGCATTAGTACAGAGCTACATTGACATACAATGAAGCATACTCCCTTCCCCCCAATTTTTTTTTTATTATTGCATCTGAAATAAACAAATCACGTTGTCTTCTTTTCTTTATCTTTGAATTTCAGTTCTAAAAATCTATCAAATCACTTCACTGTTGGCTGTAGGGGATGGCGTCTCATAAATTCAAAACAATGTTTTCACCTAGAAAATTTAAATAATACATACAGAATGCATTAAATTGTAGTGATGTGCCTGACAAGAAATAGAAAAATATGCCAGGCAATAAACAGTGCAATGTATTTTTTGTGTCCACATTATTTATACAAAGATTATGTTTATTTAAACCTTTTGGGACCATACGTATTTTATTTTATTCAAGAACTAACATCACAGCACTCAGGGCATCCCCATAAGCGTGCTTCGTCCGCATCTTCAGCATCCAATGCAGACTTCCGATACCAATGCTGCAAGTAGCAGACTGATTATATATGTCAATCCTGCCTTTCCTCCGAGTATAGAGTATCAGCTAGAGCCTGTCATCACTCCTCCTCACTGCATCACTCTCAACAGACTACGATGATCAATTTGCTGTTCCAAATCAACTTATGCTCCCATAAGACCTTAACCAAGTCTGCTTTATCAGGTATCAATATTCCACCTAAGTAATGCAGAGCCAGTCAATTCTGTCCGCCTGTTGAGGACCATGAGTATTTATGAATACAGTCTTTAAGCACTAAAACCCTTTTCACATCACAGGGTGCTTATATTTAAAACCACTATAATAAGTATCTATCTAATATAAAACAACATCATTACATGACATTTTTTTTAACACTGTGGATATTTACAGAATTTCATGGAACACACAAGTTCCACTGTTGTGAAAGGGTCAATTACAAAACCATTTTGCTAAATCTGAGTTGTCATTCAGTTACTGCTCTATCAATGCCTTGACAAAATTATGAAGCCTGCTTTCAAATATTTCCAACACTTTTGATATTTTAAACTGTTGTCATTTCAATATGAGACAACAGCGTAGTAAAACTTCATGAAAGATTTAAATAGCATTTAAAGGCTAGGGCAGTGTTTCCAAAACTTTTCTTAGTCGCAGCGCCTTTTTAAATTACAATTTTTTCATGACACCCTAACCTAAGTAAAAGTATGACTATTCGTATGTAAGAGATTAAAAAAAAAAAAAAAAAACTTGTGTATCTTCGAATTTTTTCTGCGCCCTGTTAAGAGGTCGCGGCTCCCTGAGGCACCCCGTCGCAGTTTGGGAATCACTGGGCTAAAGAATTGACTTCACAGCACTGGAATTAATCCCATATGACTGGCCTGTCTCAGCAGACAGCTGGTTACCTGCTAAACGTGTTGCATAAAGCACAAAACTCGTAGCTCAAGCAATGATCCATTTGAATCTCTGAAAACCTGCACTCAGGAACTTAGATAACTGCAAGAACAACCATCACACAAAGTCAATTTCAAGCAACCAGAATAAGATTTAACTAAGAAGTGCTAAATAACATAAAATGCAACTAGAAGGCCCAACAGAGGGAATGGAAAAAGGTGTGCACAAACACACCGAAATATTTCAATAAAAGTCTTTATCAATGGAGTACTAAATATAATACAAACTGACTGTAATCTTGACATACAACAGAACTTCTAAGCAACCAAAGTCAACATGAGGAAGGGGGGTTTGGACACAAAGAGTTATATCACAAAATGAAATAAGTATGAAGGCGTTTAAAAAAAAAAAACAGAGAGGGAGAACTATTGTCCTCATCATGTGTCCTGCCAACTGGCACTGGCGCTCTCGCAGATCACGATCCCTAGTTGCCTGGAACAGCTCTCTTGATGATATCCCTCTATGTCATCGTTTCAGCCCATCCAGTGTCATTTCTCTTGGTCTTCCTCTTCTCCTCTTTCCACTGATCTTTTGAGTTGTCATAATGTTTTCAAATGCATCTCTTCTCATTACGTGGCTAAAGAACAGTATTTATCTCCTTCTAATTGTTGTGTATAGAGATCTACTTTCATTAACTTCTTTCAAACAATCGCTGTTAGTTACTCTGGCCATCCAAGGTATTCGTAACATTCATCTCAGAAACCACATCAGTTGCTTAATTCGTTCACTGACATTCCAAGATTCGCTACAATACAGCAGGACTGGTTCTATGTAACATTTTAGTACTCTTTTTCTGACATTAAATTAGAGTGATTTATTGCATAAGATATTTTTCATTTTCTGAAATGCTGCCTTTACTTGACCTATTCTGCTTTTAATCTCTGTCAAACATCTTTCACCTGATGATATGATTGTTACCAGATATTTGAATTTATGACTTGGTTAAGTCTTTTAACTTCAAATGAGATATCACAATGTTGTGTTATTTTCTTCTTTGATTTGAACATTACTTCCATTTTCTTAATATTCAAAGAAAGTCCTTTCTTAGCACTCTCCGTCTCCCCAATATCCAGCAGTTGTTGTTAATCAGTTGCGTTTTCAGTTAGCAAAACTGTATCGTCTGCATAACGCAAATTGTTTATATTGTATCTCCAACTCTTACTTTCTCTTAAATTTCCCTCAAAATTACTTCACTATATACAGAGAAAAGGTCTGGGGATTAGACACATCCCTGTCTTACTCCTTGCTTTTACTGTTCAAAAGTACCCAGTCTTTCCAACTTTTAACTGTTGCTTCTTGTTGCAGTTGAATGTTGAATTAAGAATCGACATACAGCACTCGGGATACTCCTGTAAGTGTTCAGTCCCCATCATTAGCGGCAAGCAAAGAGTTCCAATTCTGATGGTACCAACAACATGCTGATTGTATATCCAACGCATCCTTTCCCTGAGTGCTGAGCGTCAGCCAGATCTCCTGGTAACTCCTCACAGCGCTAGTCTCCTTAGACTGTAATGATCTATCTGTGCCTATGCACTGTTCACTCGCTCCCAAAGGGCCCTCACAATATCTAACTTGTCATTCACCAATTCACTACCAATTGGTGCAGAGCTAGCCAGTCTATCCACCTGATCATTTCACAACAACCTAGCATGACCTGGAGAAAATATCCACAGGATGCTAACTACCCGGGACCTCTGAAGTGATGCTTGCCCCTCTGAATGAAGCATGCCTGTTTTCACCTTTCTCGGCATGCTCAGTGAGTCAGTTACAATCACAAAATGTGTGCATAGCTGATTCTCAAGCCAGCGGAAGGCAGCAAAGACTGCCTCCACCTCCATTCTCAAACTAGACATTGTGATATCATATGCAAGGCTTTGTTGCACTAGGCGACATCCATTCGCCTTTGCTATGAAACCCCATGCACTTTGTCTGCCCCTCAACACAGAGCTATCTGTACAGATAATCACATCACTTGGGTGGAAATTGTCATGAGCCATTTGTTGAACTTCTGATTCTGCAGCACAAACTGGCAAGTCTCTGCACTCATGATAATAACCCTGTACAAGCCTGAAACTTGCTCTGACACTTTGACCCACTCCTCTCCACTTCTTTTCATTAGATTGACTGCAGTAATTCCCTATTTACCTCAACATTTAACCAACACTGACAATTAAAATATATTTAGCTGTGAACAAACCTACATGACAGTATCAATGAACGTGTATAGGAAACAATCCCAGCCTATCCATCATATATAGTGTGATTTCTGTGGTATATATGGGATCAGTTAAATATTTCACTTTTAACTTTTTTTTAAAGTCCTGTTTTGGGTTGCATCATACTTTTCTTGTCTTCCTTTTTCTTTAAATTTACATTAAACTGAACATTATCATGATCAAGTTTAAGTGAAACGTAAAAGATGCTGATATATTTTCTTGCAACTTCCCTTATATTGCTCCTCATAATAAAATGTTTACAACTTACTAAAATTCAGCCTTAATTTGACATTTAGTTTAATATTCAGGGCATGCCATAGAGAATCTCAGTATATTTTTTATTCATAGTTTTTTTGTAATTTTAAACTACAAAATGTTTGGCTTCCATTAAATGGCAGGAACTTTTTTGTCTGGACATTTTCTGTCAGCAACAGGATGGTGCAAATAATAAAAATGTATCATTGTGGAACAGGATGGGGAGCACTAGCATATCTTTTTATACATATATCATGAATGGTGTGCTTTCCTGATTATATTAATGTAACAGATTAAACTTGAAAGACTTAACTTTTTGTTGGTGTAAAGTAAATGTTTTTAATTTAAATATTAACCAAATAATAACTACATATGTAAAATATTGATATTTGTTTTGTTAATATTTTGTATTAGTTTTCATAAAAATACCTAACAATTGTTACATCATCTATTATTAAATAAAATATCTGTTATAGTTGTATCCATCAATTATTGCATGCTGAATTCATTGCTGGTCAATTGTATCAGAGTACAGAGGTGGGATCTATGTGCCAGTCTTAAATGCGCTAGATGATGGTGATAATAGGGATGGTGACGAGTGCAAACTGTCATGTTGCAAGATGAGGATAGTAACAAGTGCAAAAGGGTCCACGCTAAACAAGTGGTTCTACACTTTCATGGATATTGCCAGCTTCATGGAAAGTGCGAGACCCGAAATGTTAGCTGCTGAAGGTTACTCGTGAAGGAGGCATTTCTTCTCTGTCAGGGATAGATGACAGACACATATAGGCATACTTGCCTTTGGTTTGTGGGCATGTGTATTGTTTATTCCCATGGAGAATTAGAATGTTTAGTGAACGTTATTGTTCACATGTCTGCCACCGAGCGTCATTCCATAATGTTTGCTGATTAATAAAACTGACTGAAGCACTATGATAGGTGCCGCCTGATATGTTGCCGTGATACTGTTGACAGAGTGTTAGCTGTCTATGTGAACTGTGTTTGTGTTTGTTAAGCACTCTCCGGTAGGGAACCCAGTTAGTCGCCAGAAGGTTGACTAAAAAACTTTTTGCAGGTATGAGTGAAGCATTAATCATTCATCCCCTAGACACTTCAAAACATCAATATTATCAGATACATGAAAAAAAACAAGAAAACAAACATGCCCACTGATGTTTCTACATTAAGATACATTTATAATGAAGAAAAAACATAACCAATACTCACCCACTTTTGTGGAAAGGCCAACCATTGTGTCTCTAGCATGCCAGTATTGTATATCATTTTTGAATGCCAGGAAATCAAATAAGAGCTGCAAAATACGTATATAGCACAATAAAACATACCATCCTGTAGTTATAACAAATATGTACATTGTTGTTTTTTTAATTTTTTATTAAGGACCCCTTTCATGTAATCATGTAATTGGTGCAATCAGTTATATGGGACGGACTCAATTTGTTATTGACCCATAGGCCCTCAGTGTCCCCTTTACTTCCCAGGATTATAAAATTATAAAAATCCATGCTGATTCAGATTCTCCCCCCCCCCCCCCAATATAAATATATATTTATATGTATATTTATATCTTCTTCTTCTTCAACATTCCGAGCCGTTGAGGTTCAGTGCTGCAGATATTACCCGCCCCCATTCATCTGTCTTGTTGGCCTATACTAGTCATGACAATTGTAATGAATTAGAACGTTCTTTGCAGAAAGAAATAGAAAAGCTTATAAAATGGAGCAATGATAATCGCATGCAAATTAACATTTGTAAAACTAAATCTATAGTGATAACAACTATGCAAAAGCTACAAACATTAGCTTTGCACAAGCCACCGCTTGAGCTCTTCATTGACAAGCTACCTATTGTTTATGTAGTTGAACACAAAACATTAGGTGTTTTAATTGACAGCAATCTTACTTGGAGTTCCCATGTTCATACCATGACCAAAAAAGTAGCCCAAAAAGTATACCAGCTTGGAAAAATTCAGCACTTTCTGGACGAAAATACACGTAAAATATTTTACGTATCCTACATTCAAACGCATATTGACTATTGTTCCACAATTTGGGTTGGCTGCTCCAAATCTAATGTCAAACGGCTGAGTTCTCTACAAAATAGGGCCTTACGCCTAGTTTCCGATAGAAACTACATTGAAAAAAAAATCTTTTATACGGACATCTAAGACATCTACCATTTAGTAAACGTTTAATTTTTAATAAGGCCAAATTCACTCATAAAATTCTATCTAAAGATACTCCAAATTACATCGACCGATTGATTCAATCTAATCCTAAGAATAGCAAGCGACTAAGTTTATTAGATTTGCCTAAACCCATGAATTAATTTATTTAAAACAAGTTTAGCATATTCTGCTGACCATTTATGGAACCATCTTCCACTCGATCTGAAAACTACAAAGAGTCCCTACTCATTTAACCGCAAACTCTTTCATTTCATGATTACCAGTGATTATTTGCCATCTTAAATGTAGTTAATAATCCACAATGCATTACTAGTTTATAATTAATTACAGTGTGTATGATATTATGTATGCGTATATGTGTGACATGCATGCGTGTGTAGGCGTGTTTGTGTATGTATGATTTTATGTATGTATGGGTAACTGTATAAATTTGTTGTATGTCTTGTGAGTCTGTGTGTGTGTAAGTGTATGTCTCTGTGTGTGGGCGTGTGTCTGTGTGTCAGTCTGTATGGTGTCTGTGTGCGTGTCAGTCTGTGTTGTGTATCTGTATGTGTGGCTGCGTGTGTTTCTGTGGGTGTGTGTCAATGTGTATGTTTGTATGTGTATATGTGTGGATGTGGCAGCGTGTTTGTCTCTGTGTGTGTGTCTATCTGTCTGTTTGTGTGTATCTATGTTGTGTGTGTAGGTATTTCTGCGTGTGTATCTGTGTGTCTATGCCTGCGTGAGTCTGTGGCTGTGCGTTTCTGTGTGTTGCTTCGTGTATACTTGTGTGTTCGTCTTTTTTATGTGTGCATATGTCTGTGTGTGTGCGTCTGCGTGTGAATGTCTCTGTGTGTGTGTGTGCCATTATGTGTCTGTAGGTTGTGTCTGTGTATGTGGCTGCATGTGTATCTGTGTCTGTCTGTGGCTGCATGTGTATCTGTGTCTGTCTGTGGCTGCGCGCGTCTGTGTGTGTGGCTCTGTGTGTGTCTGTGTGAGTCTCTATGGGTGTGTCTATTATATAATGTCTGCGTGTGTCTGTGTGTGTGTGGCTTCGTGGGTATCTGCGTGTATGTCTTTTTGAGAATGTGAGTGACTGTGTGTGTGGCTTTCTGTGTATCTGTGTGTGTCTCTATCGGTGTATCTATTATACGATGTCTGCGTGTCTCTGTTTGTTTTGGTTTATGTGTTTGCCTGTATGTCTATGTGCGTATGTGTGCGTGATTGACTGTATGCGTGCCTGTGTGTGTATCTGTGTGTTTCCCTGCCTACGTGTGTGTATGTGTTTGTGTGTGTGACTGTGACTGCATGCGTGTGTCTGTGTGGGTTTATGTCTGTGTGTGTCGGTGTGTGTTTGTATGGGTCTTTTTGTGCGGCTATGTGTGTGTATGTATGTGTGTGTGTCTGTGTGGGTTTTGTCTGTGTGAGTCGGACGTGTGTGTTTGTATAGGTCTTTTTGTGCGGTTACGTGTGTGTATGTATGTGTGTGTGTAGCTGTGTGTTTCTATATGTGTCTGGGTTGTATGCGTGTGTGTTTTAGAGCGCATGTCTGTGTATGAGTGTACGTATGTATGTATATATGTGTGTATGTATGTATGTATGTATGTGTGTGTGTGCATGTTCGTAAGTATGTGGATTTGTGTGTGTGTATTGGGTGCCTATGTGTGTGTATGTGTGAGTGAATGGGTTTGCGTATGTATGAGGGTGTGTGTGTTCGTGCGCGAGAGTGCGCACATATTTTACCACCCATGCTTTTGTTTTTGACATGATATTTACAGTATGTATATTATTACATGAACATAACATGCTTTATTAATGAAATACAACTGCTGTGTGAAAGATGAGAGTTTTGAAGGGCCGAATGTAAGACAGGCCTGCGTGCCTAATTTGTAACCCTTTGAAAATAAATTTCGTTCGTTCGTTCACTTTCCAGTTGGTGACACCAAGAGTTTGCAGGTCTGTCTGGATATTATCTCTCCATTGCCTTCTTGATCTGTCTCATGGTCTACGACCATTCATCTCCCTCGTATGTACATTTTTACTTCTCTGTCATCCCACATTCTTTCAATATGCCCTAACCATTTCAGTCTATTAGCTCTCATGATGCCAGTGATCAGTGGTGATTTAAACAGATTATGAATTTTGTTGTTGCTTCTCACTCTCAATTCACCACTGTTTGCATCTTTGATTGGTCCAAAAATTGTCGTAAGACTCCGTTTTCGAAAACCATATATATATATATTAAACTTGCTAATTTGTTAATGCAGATGCTCTTCTACAAAAATCAAAGGCATCTTAACACTAAAGATTAGTACAAACATATAGCAAATAAGTTGACAGAAACAAATCCATAGACAACACAATATGATACTTGCATGGAATGCAGCAACTGTGAATGTCAACATCAGGAAGTAGAAATTGGTGTCTGCAAAGATGCCTTTAATTTCATCTGTGTCCTTTTCTGTAAAACCTATGGACATAATAATTAAAGTACATATAGTTTTGTTTTAAATATGTCTTAAAGCTTCCACGAAGTACAGCCAAGTTGTTTAAACTTTCCACATACATCTATCTCTGTCTTCCTCAATTGTCTTTTACTTAGAATTGGCCCACATAAGCCTAATTTCTATATCCATCTTTTATGCTCATATGCCTCACAAATTTACTTTATTTTCAGATTTTTTGTTGAATGAACATTTAACAGCTAAAGATCTCACTCAATACATCAGCATTTTTTTAATCACTCACACACACACACACACACACAGAAATTTGGGGGGTGGGGGGGCGGACATCTAACTACAACTGTTTGAATATGTTCACAATGTACATGTGCAGTATGAAATATTTTTCTCAAAATGTGAGAATAGTTTTGCCTAAGTTTAAGTTTATGTGCTGCATCATGTCCGGTGTGGTCTGGGCTTGGCGGGCATCAGCGGCTTTTGATTAGACTGTTTTCTGCATTTTGGGAGAGGGGTCAGCTAGCCCTGAAAAGGACTAACAGTTTGCCTGGGGCGGCCTGCGTCAAGAGTGGCTTTAGCTCTCTGGTTGCAGCTCACTGACCGGACTGTCTACTCAGCCCCAATATATCCCTGCCGAACCCATGTGGGCGGCTGATGTTACAATACAGGCATGCTCATGTGGGCGTTCACGGGAATCATGCTCATGTGGGCGTTCTCGAGAATCACGTTCATGTGGGTGGCTGCTGCTACATGAGAATCACGCTGTCACGTAATTCATACTTTCTCTGTGCGTCTCGTTAGCCATGCTTGTCAGCCTCCATCGTGAACCCATGCGGCTACTTTCATGGGAAACTACACTTCTCACTGGTCCCAACATTCTCTCCCCCTCGGGCCAATGTTGACACTGTTCAAAGGGCATTCCCTTGAACTCCCGGAAAGTACTATCATACCATTCTGTCCCTTCACACAATATTACTCTTTCAAATCAACACGCAAAAAGTGGGTAAGTTGCCATTTGCCATTTATAGTCCACACTCCAGTGCTGGGGTAGTTTAAATCGTTCAAACGTCAAGACAATTCATGGATGTAGGCATCTGTCATCTCGCAGTCAGCTATGATGGGTGAGAGTTAGAAATTTTGATGTTCGGGTTACATCTATTGAAAGTTTTTGCTGAATTATTTGATGATGCTTCTTGCTTCTTCAAGTTCTTCCAGTGCACTTGTGTGCTGGGTTTCTTGTTTTGTTCTTTTTTTCTGCATGGTCTCGATTTCCTCTCTGAGATGGCAGATGAGATCTTTCATCTGCACCATCTCTCCTCTTGTCTGGCATCTACAGCTTCGTCTTGGGTTGCTCTCAGGACCTGGAGCACTTTGACTTCTTTCCTCAGCTCAGTCACTTGAAGAAGAAGTTCAGATTTTTCTGAGGTCTGTGCTGTCCTTAGTTTTCACTTTGGCAGTGTTTCTGGACTTCAGGTGTTCTGCTGCAACAATCTATAGTCTTGGATTCTCAGTTTGCACTTCTTCTTGAATGTCAATATCCTGGAGGCTGAGGTTGACTAGCCTGATTATCCAGCGCCGTGTGTTCAAGAAGATGCTGGGAACTACTACTATCTCGTGGGCGAGATGTAGATCAGCTGTGGTGCAACGTGACTTTCTCTCACCAGGGTTGCGGCTCTTTGTGTTTTGTACAGCTTTGCCACTACGCCATCTTTGGTCTTGCGTATTTGCTCGATAGTCTTCTTTCCCAGGATAGACTTGATAATGATGACAGTTGTCAGTGTGGCCAGCTTGGCCTGTCCATGGTTCGTCTGTGAAAACTTTATTTGGTAGGCAGTCTAGTGGCTTTGCTTCTTTGCCTGTTGAGCTGACTGCCTGTTTCACTGTTTTCTTGGTGGCGTCTGTCAGGCATTCTCTTCTGCAGTGGTAGTTAGGTCTGGTTGTCGATCTGAGGCTGGTTCTGGATTATCTTGGCTTGTCATCGGCTGATCAATGCCGCTATCGGGTGTAGATAATTCGTCTTCTGTTTGGCAGCTTCCTGGTTATGTCCTTTTTTTTTATCTTGGGTATTGAGTTGTTGATCAGTGGGTGGAGCGCTCTTAACATCAAATGCTGTTTTCTTGGGTTTAATCATGCTTGATTGGTGACTAGTAGGTGAAATATTGGCTTGATTATTCTGCTCTCGACTCACTGCATAGTGCCGGTAATTAGCAATAGCTTGGTCTCTGGAGGATAGCAAGCACTGGTTAAAAAGCTCTTAGAAGAACTCCCAGGGTGCGTCTAACAGTGTACAAGGCTAAAGCTTAAGCTGAGATAGGCTATCTAGACCGATCAATCAGTATAATGCAAATGATCAATGTCAAGATAAGGCTATCGGAAATCAGGTAATCAAATGGTGCATACAGCGAGCGAGGCGAGGCAGGCTGCTGCTTACTTGGGTGCATTCAGCAAGCGAGTGTGATGATGTTGATCGATGCTGAAGTATTTACTTACCTCCTTGCTAGGATATATAGGTCAGCATGGTAGTGCTCATGCAGTATGAAATATTTTTCTCAAAATATGTTACCGAGGAGGGAAAAGGGAGAACATGTAATAGTGTGAGAGAGTAAGAAACAAGTGAGTGAGTGAGTGGGAAAAGAGAGATAATGAGAGTGAGAATGTGTGAAAGTGGGCGACAGAAGATGGAAATAGATACTAGTTCAAAATGCTGGTGTCCTGTCTTCTCTACTTGTTATTATCTAGGCCAGCATGGAAGTTTACATATGTAACAGAACCAGCCAGTGAGCTTTGGTAAACAACCAGCAACAACTAACGGGTGGATTACATCACTAACATTACCAGCAACAACTAACGGGTGTATTACATCACTAACATTACCTAGCTCTGTCAGCATCTTCAGGGACTGCTGAATGTTTATCCACAGCCTCAGTTTACCAAAGGATATAGGAGAATATGTGATGGTCAGTGGCATGACGGTAGCACTTTCATTCAGTGGCTAAAAAAAAATACAGAAAGATAAGTACAATTAACAGTCACTAACTAAATGATCAAACTAAATATGCAAAATGTTACACTACAATCTTTATTTTACTCTAACAACTGCTAGGTCTATATTAAGGTAGTCCTATGGCAGATAATGCCAGTAACAGTTAATGAACCACTTAAGACATGGAACGAAAGTTAAATGCATTCGATAACAAACACCTGAGGAAACTGATGAACAATAAGTGGTGTGAATTCAAGATCAAGAAAAGAGAAGAAATAAGAGAAATATCTGGACAATTGTCTGCATCAAGTTATCAGAAAAAGAAGATGGCAATTTACCAGTCACATCAAAAGGAGAAGTGGTCAGAGAATTATAAGCAGGCACTGAACTTAGAAATAAATGGACTAAGGCAACAAAGACATTCAAGGAAAAAAACCTTAAGATGAATGTTGATGAAACAGCAAAGGTGCCAGATTGGACTCTACCTATGTTATCGATTGGACAGGAGAGAATGGAATGGAAGACCATCCTGAGAGCCATATCTGACTTATAATGACATGACAGGAGGATGATGACAGAAAATACTACTGCTGGCATATTAGGGTTAAACCTTCATGTATTCTATACCTTGACATTTGAGTGAGTGAGGTTGCCAGTTTCTGTTCTTGCCGCCCGTCCTTCCCAGAAAATTCTGAGCAGTGCCTGGTACCCATTTTTATTAGGTTGGACCAACCTCAGAGCTATGTGCTCTCAGCAACATCCAACTGCCTCTACTGGGAACTGAACCTGGACCAATCTTGACAGGCAAGCTCACTAACCACTAAGCCACCATGCCTACAAAATCAGTATTTCAAATGCTATAACAGCTGGCTAGGAAAAGGGATACTTTCAGGCGTGCCGTGAAGAGAACGACATTCTGTAAAGGACTTGCTAATTGATGATGATGATAACAGCCAATAATAGGTTTCTCAAATCTTTCCAAAACAGTCAACGCTTGGCACTGTAATGGCTACCATCACACACTGACAAACTCTAGACACAACATGAACAAGTAATCACAGAAATAATGATGCATACGACCAGCTTGATCGAAGAGAATAACTAGCAATTTTAAGACTCAGTACAGGCAACAACAGGCTTAAACATAACTTGTTTAAGTAGCTAAAAAATAACAGACTGATGAATGTAACGGTGGAACTGATTATTGTTCATTATTCATGTTAAGATCATTTTCATCGCACATTGGACATGACCAACCATAAGTGGTCTGATCTCCTCCTGAGTATGATGGTATACAGTAAAATGTATATCTGAGCCCAGGTTTCACATCGGAAAAAGAATGCAAGGAGAAATGTGACCAGTAGAAGCAAAAATAAAAAGAGATTAACAAAGAACATTTCACAATTAAACATAAGGAAATTAATTTGGTACAATGGTCTGTAAAACAACACTTACCAGCAAGTCAGAGATGCGGTATCCCAGTTCATCGATAAAAACAATGGGATAGTAATGTCTCCCATCTTGTGTTGTTCTAGAATGATGATACAAGCATAAAGGATTAGATAATAATCTTGTTATTAGCCAGAGCTACTGAATTTACTGTTCTTTGTGATGTGTACATACTTTAACAGCAGACTGTACATACTGAGATAGAGGTGTTTAGGTGGCTTTGTAGGAACAGAATGCCATAAAACAAGCTGCATGGAGGGGGTAAATCAGGCAAAGAAAAGTGATAAAGGAGAAAATGATTGCAGAGAGGTGAAGAGATGAGAGACTGACAAGAAGCATGTAAAATTTTTGCTATGACAACAATGGTCCTGAAATCTCGTGCTCTAACTGTGGGAGACTTTTCTTAACATGTGCAGGTCTTGTTAATTCTTGCCATTACCATGGGCTGCGATTCTCATGGTCTCTGTATGGTATAGAATAACATTATCGTCTGGAATGATGGAAATTGATTTTGTAAAATAAATGCATGGGGTGGTATATATCACTAAGGTCACCACAAAATCACTTTACTGAACTGCTAGCTTCTTGACTAACCTAAGATAGGGGTATATCTCTCCTGGTATTTTCTGTCGATCAAGGTCAATATGATCTTCCAGAACATTGACAGATAAGCGTTGTCTCCAATGAGTGAGTGGTAGTACCTTCTCCTCTTTCTTTCCAGAAGCTGATTTTGAAGTATTATTCTGTAATGAAACAATGGTACTCAATGGTACATGAGGACTGGCAAAAGGTTTAAATATTATACATTGTATTTGTGAGTACAGTGGTACCTTGGAATTAGAAAGCCTCAAACCTTGAACAACTGGAATCGGGATGAAATTTTCAGCCAAATTTAGCCTCAGAACTCAAATGCCGCCTTGGAACCAAATGCCTGGCATGTGCCGTTTACACGGTTGAGCCGATAACGCAAGAGCTTCAGCACCTTTACCATGAGCAGATGGAAGAAACTGCAGAAAAAATTTCTTTCAGGGAGGAAGCTGGAAGGATAAGCAAGGCTGATATCCAAGATCTTTTTACCAACTGGTCAAAAACACAAGAAACTGTTAAAAGGTCGCATCCTGATAGAGCCCCAGTTAACAGGTGCGTTAACTTATTTAATAATAACATTATCAAACATTTTAGAAAAATTAAAAAATGATTGCCAACACCAGAAAAGAACTTTGAAATGCTGGCTGTCAACAAAAAATAGTGACCCCCTCAAACCCTCTATAAGTGGTGAATGACAATGATATCTTTTTCTTCTTCACGTTCACTGGCTTCAAACTCCGGTGGAAAGTTCTGATTGTTCGTCCACTACTGGACTCTAGTCCTGTTCCAGAAACTGAGTGTTGCGTGTACATCCGTTTCACAGGTCTGATTCATCTGCATGTAAAAGCCAGAAAGGATTCCTGATGTTAGCATGGAAGGTGACTCACCTTCCAAACAATAATCTCCCTAAACCCCTCTTCCTCCCCCTCCTTCTATGTATTATGTCATCATTTTGATCAAGCTACAGTCAACACAATGTTTTTATATATTTTTTATTATATTTTAAAATTTATTAATGTTTGTAATCAAACATGACCATCATGTGTTACTATAGTTACAGTGTTCTGCCTTTAGGAAAATACATTTTGCAATGTAAGATTGTTGGGACTTCGAACAGATTGATCTAGTTTCCACTGTTTTCAATGGAACAAATTGTCTTGGAACTTGAACGATTTGGGATTTGAATGTAGTCTTGGAACAGATTGTGTTCAAATTCTGAAGTACCACCGTATATGAATCACATTTTTTTTTTCATTACTTCTGGATACCTTTGTCAAATTAACAATTATGAGATTACAATGTAAATTTCTTACAGAAAATTATAAATGCAGTGTTAACCATGACAGTGGTTTCCATTTAGCTAAGACTTATGGACCTCTCTTATATCTGATCTGCCAAGGACCAGATTCTTTTTAATGGTATTACCGAAAAACTTATAATTTATAAATATACAGAATCGCAAAATAAACTGCCTTCTTAATGTCAGTTTTTTAAAATATGTAAATGACATAACAGACCCATTAAATTTGTTCTGTTGACCACCAAATGGAAAACACTGAACAATGATATCTGTAAATTTCTAGGATATCAAAGTCTGCATCGACTTCCTGTCCTAACTACTGCTGCCTATCTATATATCCTCCCACAGAGGATCTTGTAAAACTGAAATCCCTTTCCTCTGAACTTCCTCATCTAGGCCGGTTATGCCTCGACAGTTATTTTATAACCAGTGGTCAACAGTTCCTGGATTTGTTCAATGCCCATCCTTACTCTGGTCTCTATAGTGTTAATGAAACCTACAACTGCTAAGAAGGCTGCACAATAATGTAATAACGCATTCTGAAACATTTCAGTTCTGTGCTGTCTCCACAATGGAAGCTGGCTACACTGCATCCACGCCATATGTGGGAATATTATGTGGTGATGCCCTAATCTTTTCTACAGTGTGACTCTTGTACCACTGTTTGAAAGTCAAGACAACAATGTTTTTCTAAACCGCCTCCCACAGGCAGTTAATAATACTGTCAAAACTTACCCACAATCCTTACAGCAGTTCATGTTGTCACTACCCAAAAGTTCCTTCACTAAATGGAATATGTATTTTTATTTCCCAAACTAATGCGTTATTCCATTCAGATGTTAATTACTTATACATCTAAACTGGACAGCAGGTTACTTTGTAATTGTAAGATACCCCAGTGTAACTGTTTTATAAGGCTGAACAGGATTTCTGAGATTTTGTCCTCTCAGACTCAAATCTGAAAAGTGACCTTTTTTTTTAGAGACTGAGTGTCTATCTTTCAGACTTAAATTCTGGCAGAAAACAAAAGTTATTTCTGATTTTTTTTTAAATTGATTTTCTGTCTCTACTGATAATGACTTTGGTCAAGATGTTCACTTGTTTCTGGTTCTTATGTTTTGGTTTTCTATCTACCTATTACTTTTCTCTTTGCTGATGATGTCTGTGATTAAGATTACCTGTTGCTGTGTTAATCTTTCAATTTACTGAGCATCTTAGGTAAATCTAAGCTGCAAAATTCAACCAATCATGAACATATCTACATAAGCCTTGCCATGACTTGACTAATGACTTATGACCTACTGGAAGATGAAAGATGAAGAAAAAGACAGTGGACATTATCTCTGGACTTTATAGTGCTAACAAAACCTACACCTGTTGAAGAATGCTGCAAGATAATGTAATTTCCTCAATACAAACAAAACACATAAACTGTACTTACTTCTGTCTGATCCTTATTTCCTAGAAGATTAATAAAAGAAGCTTGTGGCAATGAGTAGGTGGTAATCTTGGAAACAGAATAAGCCAAGTAATCCTTTTCTGGAGACTGACTTCCACGAGGATAAATTATAGCGTGCACATACAGCGTTCCATTTTTCCTAGTTTTTAGCGGGACGCTGACATTCACAGTCCTACATACAAAAGAAGCAGCTGTATTATTTTGCTACAAATCTGACTCAGCAAAACATTTTGCTGACACATAATATGCCTTTAATTATAGTTTTTGTCCTGTAGCACGGGTCATCATGTATGTCCAGAACCTCTTGTTTCATGTACTAACATGCTTTTCTTTGTATGTATACTTACAGAAGGCTATATTTTTCTTCTGCAAGGGCCGTTTTAATACTGAATGGTTTGTCTTAGCCATTGTGCCTATAATGATGTCTTTGTCTCATCAATCAGCAAATCCTTTAGAGAACGTCACTCTCTTCATGTACGCCTAAAAGTATCTCTTTCTCTAGCCAGCTCTCAGGCCCCATGTGCTGTCAATGCCAATGCATCTTCAATGTCTTGTATGCATCTTCGCTGTGGTCGACCCCTGCCTCCCCTTCCACAAACTGCAACCTCCATCACCGTCTTTTCCAAGCCACCATGATGCTTGATGTGGCCAAAATACTTAAACTTTCGGGACAGGATGCTGTCTTTGTGTAGAAAGGCTAAAGTGGTGACCTGTACTGAAAACTGTTCACCCACTGGTCATGTTACACATCATCAACCTGTCATAATTTCATGTAACCCTGCCCTATCAAGGAGCAAAGCCAGTAGTCTATTTCTGCCCATAAGATTACCTGTAGGCTAGTGTAGTGAAAGAGATTCTTTACCACTGTTGGCTGAGCCACTAAAAGGACAATACATGACAGCCGCAAACCAGTCTTTCTTTCTGGTATTCCAGTTATATTTTTCAACATCAGGTTAAAGAGAATTATACAGACCAAGCCTTTGTATCGCTGGTGCCTATAGCTTAGAGGCTATGTATGCAGCTTTTATTTTCTGAATTCAGCCACAGGCAATTAAGCAGCAGAATACTTTGCACTGATTTTGACACCGGCAGGAAGCAATGGCAAAATACTGACCGTAAGACTGCTCAGAAAAACCACAAACAGCCAATGACTGCTTGAGTTGGCTTGTAAAGGATATGCAATTAAATGTTAGCCTTTGTAAGGACAACATATAATACTGAATGTCTTTTCCAGCTATTCCATCAATCTCAGAAGTTAGGCCTTGCAGTGTTTTCACTGTGTCTAAATGTCCAGATAAGATAAAATACCTGCTCCAAACACATAAAAAAATAGGACAAATGTAAACAGTTATACATACTTTTCAACAATGGCATCTATTGTAAAATTATCATATTTCCAAATGGTTGTCAATGCAGCACCTTGGCTGGCCTGTGTAGATGTAGAAATCTGCAACTACAAAACAAATTACACAAATTAACAGAAATACAATATAAAAATTAGAGATCTCAAAATTTTAGTTGTTAATCTGTTTTTTGTTTTTGTTTTTTGTTTAAATGTTCACACACACAAACAAGTTAATAAACAGCAGCTGTATGCTGCAAGAATTGCACTGAAACCTGAAATCTTATGGGTTTATTTAAGGTGAGTAAACAAATACTGAGCATACAGTATAGTAAACAAATGTTGAGCTTTTCTGCATTTGGCGAGAGCACAGTAAACAAATGTTGAGCATCTTTACATTTGGTGAGAGTGCAGTAAACAAACATTGGGAAACATCTCATTTCAGAAATTTTACATTACTCCTTAAGAAATATAAATACAACAACACCAGTTATCAACATAGGCCCTGTCTCTAAGAAGGGCTGAGGCTGGAGCAAGAGGACAGCCAGGAAGGAAATGGATGGACAACATCAAAGACACTGCACACTGACACCAGCCAGTGCCACCCATCAATTGCTGGACCATATCAACTCTCCCTCAACAAGTTACATGATGGCAAAAAGTACAAGGTTATGGTGGTGCTTTTTGCAATACTGTTGGTGCAACTGCTGGTTCTATCTATGACAAACTGGAATTCTAGTGGTGGACTGTTTAAGTTCATATTTTTTTCTGAGAGCTAGTTTTTAATATGCGTATGTATGTTGGCGTCTGTGGGTTAGGCGTTGCAAACACACTTCATAATGCTGGGGTGATGGGTTCGATCCCTGCTATGGACCTTGCACTGGTTTTGGCAGTGGTATCGAGAAGCCAACCGTCCAGAAAGCCATTCAATGAAAATCAGAAAACACATTTCAAGTGAGGAAATGTTTAGGGAAAACATACCACATGGTTAAATGTGTTTATTTCACAAGATTTTAAACTTCTCAGTTTAAACAGAACACTTACCCCAAGTTTAGGTTTTGTAAGCAGGTATGGTTTAATGCAGTGTTGGCTCTTTGTGCATGGCTGTGGCATGAAAATACTGTACAAAGTGTAGATTGTATAAGCCAGGTAGCCCACAAAAGCACCCAGCAGTATCTTTGTCCATGGGACTCCCAGCATGATAAGGTCAACAATGTATGTCTTCTCTGTGGTCACAACAGATTAAACAATCTGTTGATTTGTGGCTTTCTTACTTGTAAAATTTATGATGAAAAATCAGTCTGAGGAATAAGACATAAATTATGGGAAGAAAACCTCTATGCTAGAAAACATAAAATCCATGTGTCTGTCCATTTTCAGTTAACTAAATCCTCTCAAATGGTGATCAGTGATGGGTTAAATTTGCAGAGGTTAAAGTGTCAAGTTTAACAGTGTTATTGGTGGCAAGGTTTATGAACATTTCTGATAATTACCATTACAATCATTAAAGTTAACATTCACTGGAGAGATATCTCTTTGTGTATCCCTTGGGAAATGTGTTGAAAAAAACTTATATTTCACTATTATCTCCCTTGAAACTTATAATGACATGTTCTTTTAGATGAGAATCAAGAAATCAGGTGTCTGCATACAATAAGCCAGATCTGTTAAATGGGTGTGCAGCGGTGTAGAAACATATTAAGTAAAGAACAGAAGAATATAATTTTCTTTCACTATCCAGGGTAGTCTGAATTGTCACACTGAGTTATTCATGGCTTGGTGGGGAGTGGTAGTTCTTACCACAGTTGGCACCCACTATGAGAAGAACTGTTCTAGGGGGGTTCTACCACTCCATGCCGGGACTCAAGGTAGGCTCCAACACCTTATAACCCATTATCATCATCATTTTCAGGTGCCTTGCCGATCATGCCTCTCCACAATCTGTAATCTCCTGCAGCATGTATCAGTTCGTGTCCCGACACACCTCCATACAACAAGACTGTCAAGAATCTTCTCTCGTTGTCTTCCTCTATTCCTCCTTCCACAGATCTTTCCAGTGTCACAATTTGTTCTATCTTCCCTCTTCTCATAACATGGCCGAAAAATGATGACCTTCTGATGTCTGTGATAAATTGTCTTCGGGCTCCAGCCTCTTTCAAAACCTCTTGGTTGTTCTTTTTGGTTGTCCAAGGTATTCTAAGCATTCTTCTATAAAACCACATTTCTGAGGCCTCAAGAAATTGTTTGGCCTACCTGCAGATTGTTCAGGATGTATGTAGCAAGCAAGAATTCTTTTTTCAAATCTCAATGACAAGGATATATTGCACAAGATGTACTTCATTTTATAAAATGTAGTTTTTGCCTGTCCTATTCTGTTTCTTATCTCAGTTACGCATCTTCCATCGGATGTTATCCATGTGCCCAGATACTTAAATTTCTGTACTTGTCCCAAAATAACACCATCGACTTTTATTACACATTTAGGAATAATTCGTTTCTTTGATACCACCATTACTTCTTTCTTCCCATTATTCAAACTAAGGCCCATTCTTCTACTTTCTAACACCACAATGTCTATCATTTCCTGTAGTTCATTATATGCTACAGAAAATTCTCAGAAGGGATGAACAGAGAATCAACAAACGTGCACTGAAACCGGAACCTGATGGACTGAGAAAATGAGGGCATCCATGGGAAACTTAAAGATAGAAGGCTCCTGCTGTGCTCGCTCCTTCATGGAGTTTCTGCTATATATACAGCAGTGGTGGAGACCAAGGTGAGGTAGAGGATGGGAGGATACAATTTTCTTTCACTATCCTAGTGAATATATATTTCTGATATGGTGAATTCCCAATGTAGATACCAGAGCTTCCACTATGGAAGGGGTTGAGTGGCTTGGGGCCCACTACCCTTTAACAAACTAACTGTAAAGGGCAGCTAATTTAAGTTTCACTTTAAATCAGGTGTGTTGTGGTGAAAGACAAAGATACTGCAGTCTAAGTGTAAATGACAATGTGCCAACCATCCTTTTAAGAGGGAAGGCAGACAAAGAAGACAAAAGAGGAGGAGGGGAGGAAGAAGAAGAGGGCATAGTGAAAAATGTATATCCTCAGTGTACAACACATACTGACTAAAGAAATTCTACTTTTACTACATTGTAACTAGGTGTCTTGCAGCAGGCTTGAGTAATCACACTTCTGCTGAGCTTCTGTTTTCTAGAAAAATGAATCATTTCCTGTACTATTTTTCATGATGCTAAGCTATCAATGCTGGGGTTGATTTTGCAATGTTCTGTAAAGGATACACAATTAACTTTAACAATTTTCTTCTACCATTATCTCTTTTTCATTAATTTTACGAACCCTTTACAAAATGTATTAATTAGGGGTATCTGTAAGCATTGGCAGAGTCAGAACATACACTTACAATCCTGCAATCATGCATTTTTCTCTATTCAATGATTACAAGTGTTTGGTAGTGGTGGTCCCATAGAAGATACTGCTGTTAAGATGTTTATGTGTTAGGCACTCCTGCATCCTAGGTCACAGTCTATCAGGTGCGGCAGCCAATTCACTTCCTCGTCATCTTCCACTCAGTCACAATGTAACAGCGTATAATTAGAATAATCAACAAGTCTTAGTAGCCTAAACTTTCCTTTCTAGAACCATCATTTGTTTATTAGCAGAGAGTTATTTGTATATGAATAATCTATAAATAGTATCTGAGGTAATGTTTTTAAACGTGCCCTAAAAAAGAGAATGCATTAGAACCCTTTCTAGAAGTCTCCCAGAAGGCCAACTGTCCATTTATTTGACGTATTTTGGTGCAGAGTTATCTGATGCAATAGAGATGTAATTTGAAAATCCCACGTCAGAACGCACATAGTAAACAAGTTTTAGCATACAAGAATATTCTAGAATCAGTTTGTGAGTAGAAAACACACACCACACATTCCAGTACCTCAGTTCAAATAGTGGGTAAGAAACCACTTGGGTAACCTTCAGTCTATGAGACTTAGAAGAGGAGGGACTAGTAACATTGACCCTCAAAGAGAACCTTCAGCCGTTTAGACTCAGAGGATGAAGGACTAGTCTCACTGACCCTCGCAGTTGAAAGCTTTCAGTGTGGAGATGACTGCTCAAGACTAGAAGCAGAGGAAACAGTCACATGAAGCCTCAAATACAGTCACAAGAGAGGAGACATGAACGAGACATCAGACTACAGAGATAATAGACAAGATAAATGGATCTATGGTAAACAGAGATGGAGAACTGATTGGACTGAACATCTATGGAATAATAATCAACCTTAGATATGCTGATGACACATTGTTACTAGCACAAAGTTAACAGCAGTTACAAGACATGGTGGAGCCAGTAAATAGGCACTATATATATATATTTATTTTCAAACTATATTTAACCATAGAAAAGAGGGACAATGGTGAGCATCACAGTAAACTGAGAGATATTAGAACACAAAGCATGTTTGATGTATTTTGGACATAAAAAAGATGAATAATAATAATAGCAGGTGAAAGAGACATGAAATAGAAACCAATAAGAATGGTCCAAAATTCATCAACAAGATGCAAAAATTATAGATATTTTTTAGTTAAAAGCACTGAAAATGAAAAATTTAAGTACACCTAATCTACTGTTTTGTGCCAAATCCTGAGCCATGAGCTAGCAACAGGATAATCAAACAAAGGCTCTGGTGATGAGAAATACAATATAGTGAACAGCATTGGCTGTACTATGGTATTTCATGAAGAAAACAAAAGTTTAGACTCTGGAAAAATTGAGAATGAACAGAAGGTTGCTAAAAAAAAAAATTTCAACACACAACTGAAGTATTTCGGCCACGCCAAAAACCATAACACTCTTCTGAAGGGAAAAAAACCACACTGGAGGGGAAAGTCGAGGACAAGAAAACAAAACAGTGATGACTGATATGATACCATAAGATGGCAGGACATTAAAAAATAAAGAATGAACAGCTGTCTGAGAGAGTGTACAACCAAGACAAAAACCACTGTCGTCAACCTCTACTGTGGAGATGGCACACGCTTAATTTCTAGTAAATATAATTATTTCCCAGTGTGGGTTCCGGTGCCATTGTGAGGAAAACAAGAATAGACCCACCGCAGGCCTAAAATCATGTCGTCAGAGTTGACTAATTGGGAGCTAAGCTACCTTCAAAGTCGGAGTACATCTGCCTGAGAGGCAAGGAACCAACAGTTTGCATGCAAATTAGTCAGACAAGTGAACGGATGTGCATGCAACACTCAGGGTTCTGGAACATGACTAAAGTCCCGTAGTCGACGAACAACCTGAGCTTTCCACCGGAGTTCACAGCCAGTGCGAAGAATAATAATTTAACTGGCTATCGATATAGTATAGTAGTCTGAGTCTGTTGACAAACATTTCACGGACACCACTGACTGACTGAGAATTATTTGTCTGCAAAACAAACGATTTTTCTTTTCTATTTCTAGAAAGTGTTTTCAAAAATAGTTTCTACTTATTCTTTGATAATACTTCAATAACTGCAGAGTCGCTGCTTACATTTTTGGTGAGGTGGTATCGCCGTGCTTTTTGTTTTTCCGTTGTAACTCAAAGACACCGGGACAGAAAACATCCACAGCCGTTTAGTTTACAACAGTCCCGCTTTTGTTGACTTATGGACTACTATGTACTTCCTATAATGAACACGTAAAGCCAATTCTGGCATTTACTGTTATCTACACAGATGCCTGGTTAAAAAACTTCTTACTATTCTTCTTTTTGTCTCATAGTACCAGGTTTTAGCGCAGTTTCGTGGTTTTCTGTATTTGTCTTGCGCTTCCCGGGTGGCTTGGGTGATGGATCTGTTTTTCTTTTTGCAGTTTTCAGATACACCATTTATCCATCTCTATCTTTGTCACCCCTTCGTCTTCCTTCCTGGTGTTCTGCTGTAATCAATCTTATATGTACTACTAATTGGTCTGGCTGCATTCGCACTAGATGACCGAACCATTTCATTTTTTGTCGGCCGTTATAATTCACACACGGTTTCATTCCAACTGTCTCTCTTTTCGTAACACTGTAATTTCTTAGTGTGACTTTACGGGGACTAAACACGTACAATCTATACATTGTGCGCCATTATAAAACAAACAGTAATTGGCAGCTAAAAAAAGAAAAGAAAAACTATGTTTACATTAATAATCTCCTTGTAGAAGATTTTTTGTTATTTTGAAGCCCCACCCTGGATCATGCCAAGGGCCGCAATATAGCCCAGCCATAAATATGATCCAATGGCTGGACGCGGTTTCCGTGACCTCTCCAGGGTGATCCTCATCCACATGGTGGCACTTTGTGTCATCGGGTGTTTATCGCTTGAGTGATGTCCTAGTGGGGTAAAATGTACTTCTACTGTATGTGTTATGATCGTCATGAAAACATCGTCCCCGTGTGGAAAGCAATTTGTCTTTATTTTGAAGCCCCACCTTGGCTTATATAACCTAACTGTTGAAGGCGGTCGGTTTCCGGGACCTTTCCCCAAGTGATCCTCATCCGAATGGTGGCACTTTGTGTCACCGGGTGTTTATCTCTTTGCGGGATGTCCCGGTGGGGTAAGATTTACTTAATGTATGTATCTAATTTACAATCCAGGTTAGTTGAACAGGATATAGTTGTTTAAATTACCACTACTGCTGCAGCTGCTGCTACTACTACAACTACTGCAGACGATATAGATATATATATATATATATACGTGTGTGTGTGTGTGTGTGTTTACAAAAAGTTTACATTGGAATACAATGTATGCTCATCATCGTCATCATGTAGCAGGTCCTTTGCAGAACGTCGCTCTCATCACAGTCTGCCTAAAAAAAACTCGGTCTCTCGCCAGTTCTCCCGCCTCATGTACTTTCACACTCAAGGAGTCACTTATATCCTGTGCCCATCTTCTTGTCGGTCGGCCCCTGCCTCTCCTTCCAGGTACTATGTTTTCTGCTATAATTTGTTTTCAATCCATCATGGCGCTTGATATGACCAAAATATTTCAGCTTCCGAGATATGATGCTGTTTATTAGCCAGTCTTCCTTGATGTTCAGATCTTTCAAGATGTCGGTATTTCTCCTCTTCTTTGACAACGCATACTATATATTTCAATTATAACAATGAGAGCTCAACAGGATATTATTATGTTATTTTTGTAAATTATACCACCACAGATTCTGCTGATACCATTGCTACTTATAGGGCTGCACTAAACACAAGACAAACGATGAATAGAAATATCAACGGAGGGGACAGAGAGAGAGAGACAGAGAGATAGAGATAGATAGATAGATAGATAGATAGAGAGAGAGAGAGAGAGAGAGAGAGAGAGAGAGAGAGAGAGAGACTGGCACAAATACAACTGAGCATTTCTTCCAAAGTCTTTATCAACGAAAAAAACTGGCAAATAAGACAATTATCCCCCCCCCCCCCCCCCAAAAAAAAAAAACATATTGTGCACACAGATTGAGACATCTTCGAATGTCACTGATGAGCTACCGCCCGCCTTAAGCTTTTCAGCTCCCAGTCAATAAGATGTTGATCCGCCACAGCCTGTATGTTTCAATGGGTACCTGGACCTAGGACAAAATCCGAATTGTAGATTGTAAAAACCAATACATCAAGCAATAAAAAGAAATATAACGGCAAGCTTTGACTTGGCTCTTTGAGGACCATGTGTCCTGAATGTTCCACTGACCAGGAAAATATTAGCAATGTGAGAAAAACAGCTATCATGACTGACTGACTGACTTTCTACCCCACCAGGACATCACACAAGCGATAAACACCCGATGACACAAAGTGCCACCATGTGGATGAGGATCGCCGTGGAGAGGTCCCAGAAACCCCGTTCAGACATTTGGCCATATGTATGGCCTGCCTATATTGCGGCCCCTGGCAAAAGCCAGAGTAGGGCTTCAAATAACAAAAAATTTCGTCCTGAAAAGGACGAAACTGTATATTAACATAAAACAGCTATTATTGATGTGGAACTCTGTAAACTTGACATAGATATTGATGGCCTATAGGAACACATCTACAAGAAAATGGGTCCATTAGAAAAAAATAATTATACATTCTTATGGAAAGACAGAAGCCAGGAAGAAATCCGGAAGTATGGAGTGGGATTTGCCATAAAGAATTCACTGTTGGGAGAGTCCAACTGGAAGAAATGACATTATTAATATTATCCCTGCGACTGTCTACCTCAATCTGTGTTATCTCCCTTGTTACTGCACATGCGGCCACTCTAACGTCAACGGGGCCCGGCTCGCTAGCGTAGTTGGCTAAACCATACTGCGCGGTGACCGGGTGACGAACTCCTTGTGGTCCGGGTTCACGCCCAGGGGTAGGGAGAAAAGCCATATTTCTCCCTGATTTACGGTATCTATCATGGAATCAAAGCCGAAGGGTTGCGATATCAATAGTACCGAGCCTAAGGGTTAACAACTCATGGCTTCTGAATACTAAAAAAAAAAAAAACGTCAACGGAGGACCGAAATGATTCTTTTAATCAGGATAGGTAAGGCAGCAACAGCAATTAGAAGACAAATAGAGTTTGGAAAACTACCGATTAAAACAAAAACTCTTGTGTTCTTAGCATTCTTCTTTATAGCAGTTAAAACTATGTCAACTTATTTGCACCAGGAGAAACGGCTAAATAGCTTTCATATGCGATGCCTAAGAAGAATAATTGGCATTAAGTAGCAGGACAAGATCACAAACACCGAGGTACTGGAAAGAGCAGGTACTGCACTAGTCTTCTCAATGCTCAGTCTACAAGGGCTCCGGTGGCTGGGGGTCACACCTGGAGAATGCAGGATGACAGAATTCCCAAAGCCATCCTTTATGGTAAACTTAAGACGGATAGAAGATGTCGAAGCCGACCCCTACTACAATATAAAGACGTGTGTACGCGGGTCATAAATGATAAAGGTACTGAGGTGGACTCGTGGAAACAAAATGCCAAGGACCATGTTGTGTGGAAGGGACACATCATAAAGGGAATGAGAAAAAAAAAAAAAGAAAGAAACGACTGCCGAAATGATGATTTCGGAGTGTCTGAGAGAAAAAAAAAAAAACAGACTTAAACACAAATTTTGACAACAATGGTCCTGAAACCCCTGCTATAATTGTGGGAAACTTTTCTTAACGCGGACGGGTCTTGCTAATCACACTCGCCATCGCCATGGGCTATGAGTCCCATGCCGTCTCATAGCGCAATATAACACTATGGTCTGGAAAGTCTGAAAGGTGGCGATCATTTAGAGAACTGCATAAAGCGGTAGACAAGGTAATGGAGTGGTGTGAGGAAACTGGTTCTATCATCAGCCAAAATAAGGAAGCTGTATTGTGGTGTTCCTTAAGAAATAGCATTGCTAGAGAAAACGTTCCGAACATCACAATAAATTGTAGTAACATAAAGACATAGACAATTTACTGAAATATCTCGGCATACCCTTTGATAGGAGCCTGTCGTTCAAGTAGCATTTGGAAGAACTAGTGTTAAAGAGAAGGTGATGGCATCAGCGGACACGGGGCAGAGAAGGCTCTACATACTTTACCAACAACTGATTATTTTCATGACTGAGTATGATTTGGGCTTGCTCACGGTAACTAACAGCCAAATAGAGAAGCTGAAACGCGTTCAAAATGAAGCCATGCGAGTCATTTTGGGATGCACAGGGGACACGCCATTCGCGTGTATGCTGCACATTCTTGCAATGCTGTCCATAAACAAAAGAAACAACGTGTTTGTTACAGGCGACAATGTACATGAACGTATGAAAAGACAAGCGACACCTTCTACGTGAGCAAGGGATGTCGGCTGAAAAGAGGTAGCTCTTGGATGGCACGGGCAGAAGTCACGACTAGAACTGTTTGTGATACTGATAAGATTTCGCATGGCGATGAATGGGTTGCAGTGCCACCCAGCAAAACAGACTTGCACAGAGTGACAGTTACCTTGGACAGAAGGTGCCGGGAATGGATAGCCAGTGAAACAGAGGCATCGGTGCAAGAGCTGATCAATGAAAATTTACTCCCAGGAGACATTGTTATATACACACACTGATCTGTAGTGAGCGACAGAAAGAGTGGGTGGGGACTCATTGCAAAAGTGAATGGACACTGCTTAAGAGCCTCGCGTGTAATGTCACAACATCCATTATGAAACAAAGGGGACGACGTAATTAAAGCAAAAAATGCCCGCACAATCCATTCTCCCAGCAGGGAACACATAGACCCCATATTGACACAACGAGTCGAGTTCCCGGAATCGTCAGTTCTGTGACCCGCGGAACAATGTCAAGGTTGCCAAACACGGAAGGAATGACGTTTTGTCCAAGATGGCGAGATACCTATAGAGTGTACCGCTATGTTGTTGTTTTGATTCGGTAGAACTGTTTTATGGGCTTATCGGTGTTCACATTTACTAGCCGTGTGTTCTGCTGAAGACATTTATAGTTTTTTTTTTACTATGGCAGCAGCGAGTAACATCCCGCGGGATATTCAAGGTAAAAGCTTTACACTCATAAGTGTGCTATAATGCTATATTAATTATTAATTTAATAGTAGAAAACTAGCTAGTCAAGCAAGCAACCAGCCATCAATGTCTCAACTGTCCAACTGACTGACCGGACTTTCCGTGTGACTCAGTTCTGTTATTAAATTAAATATTATACAAACCGTGACCTAGTGCCAGGATGTTATCGGAGCCTATAATAGCACGGAGCTGTTACCTTATCATCCATGTTGTAAAAGGCAGGGGCGACCTGAGCTGGAATAATAGTAATAGGTGTATGGAAGTAATGGTTAAAGAAAAAAGAATAAGCTGACCGGTTAGTAAAAAGCATTAATATTAATTAAGAGGGAATACAGAAATTCAAGTGTCTAGACACTGATATCAAATAGAAGACGGGGCAGAACTGAATTTTATTAAATAAACATCTCATGGTATAAGTCCCTGTCAGTGGCTGATAGACAAAGAATTCTGAAAAAATTGTAAGCGGTGATCCTAAGGGACGCAATCTACAGTAAGTTAATAATACTTTAAAGTAAGTAAGTAAATTTTACCCCACTAGGACATTACACAAAGCGATAAACACCCGGTGACACAAAGTGCCATAAAAGATGTGGAGAAGCATGATTGTCTGTGTCAGTATTCAAGGCATTTATTTACTTATGTTCTAACAGATAGACAGACAGAAAACTACTCTTTTGATCTGAAGCTTCTGGAGCATACTTTGTTCTCAACCCACTGTTGTTACCTTTCCTTTAGATATAACAAAGCAGACTGAGGAAGGGATCATGTTGTATCGTCAGCACATGGTTTCTACAATTTTGACCAGTCTTTCTGCTATGAAGAGGAGTTACTTCATATTTTCTACTTGCTACTTGTTGTTACTAATTGTCTTTATCAACAATCTCACACACTGATGTGACCCATTCTCGCTCATCCTCTAATGCAGCAGCCATCTCATTGTCTCCATGCTCAGTGTGCCCACTAGCAGTTGATTGGCCTATATTCTTTTGTTGCCCAGCAGCTGTTTTTTGCATGCTTGTCCTAGTTTAATAACCATCTCCAACGGGTGATTCATTGTCTCAGACTCCTTCGTATCAAAGTCTCTAGAATGCCTGCCCTATTCATGCGTTTTCCTCCACCAACTACTGCAGACATGGCTGGTCTGTTGGCTCTTTCATTTCCTTTCACTTCTGCATATCTGAATCATGTACAGCTGAGATAGTTTCTTGAGGCGGGAGGTTTGATACTGTCAGCCCATACCAGGCAAAGTTCTTCTTTGGATCTTCTTAAACATGCTGAATGAGCATGAGTTGCTTTCTATTCCACTAGCCCTACAATTGTCCCTGTGACAGCTGCTATCTCCATTGTCATGCTAGAAGTAGTTGAACTAACAGCCCAACTTCCTTCTTTTGCTGTGTTGTCTTTCCGTTCAACTACGCTGTGTATGCCCACCCAGACCGCACCCCATGAATCACTTAGCCATCTGTGTACATGATGTGCTCATAAATGTGGGCTCATATTTCAGCATCAGTGGTTGCTTGGCTCCATTCTCTGCATTACCTCATTAGGATGATTATTAACTCCTTATTAATTTCGGGTGTTTCTACCCATTCAGCCCTGAACGACATGTTCCAATAGGCACCCTTGACCAATGGTATCCTCTGCTTCCGCCATCCAGGACTGCCCTCTCTTTAGGCTCCTACCTTTGTTCATCTGTAGCAGAGGGTGTTTTATGCCAGCATCAACACAAGGCCTGGGAGGAGTAATTTCACATTTTCTCTTAATTGGTATTGTCATGGGCTGTGATTTTGTTGTCTCAGTATAGCAGATTTGAACATTGTCATTTGGAAAGACATGGTGCCAGAAAACTCTGAAATCTTATTGCTCATCTTACAGAAACAGTCAGCAACACTTTCAGCGAGCTATACACACTATTTTCGATGCACACTAAAACATATTGACAGTGAAAGGGAAATTCACATTGCTTCTTTGTCCAAACTTGGGCAAGGTGCCAGCCAGCGTTGTTATGATACCAGACCATGGCCGTTTCTTGCTAACAGCTAGTATCAGCACAGTTACTAAAGTTTATATATATATATATATATATATATATATATATATATATATATATATATATATATATATATATATATATATATATATATATATATATGAATATATATATATATATATATATATATATACACACACATACATACATACATATATATATATATATATATATATATATATATATATATATATATATATATATATATATATATATATATATATATATATATATATATATATATATATATATATGATAATCAGCATTTCATACATAGCACACACATATATATGTGTGTGTGTGTGTGTGTGCGTGCGTGTGTGTGTGTGCTATGTATGAAATGCTGATTATCATTAAATAAACACAAACACAAACTCAGTGGAAAGAATTGGAACTTAAGGGATGAACAAAAGGATTTTAAATGGTTAAGTTTGGCTTGACTATCAGTCACAAGTGATGACATGCATTAGCATGTAATCTGTAAAGTAGTAGGCGGGATGCTGAATAAAGAAAAAACAAAATGGGTAATCTAAAAGTTATGAGAATAAATCATGTGAAAGGACCATTTTCAGACTTCTTGTGCTTTGGGCATATGATGCTGTTCTCATTTTTATAGACCACTTGGCATCTTGGCACTATGTGGGTGATATGGTCACCCATATTCTTCTATAGCTCTTTTGGAAAGAGCTATAGAAGAAAAAAAACAATCTTTACTTATTCTTCATTGACTATACAAAATCATTTGATTGTGTGAAACATGAAGAAATAATCAAACTATTGGATAAGTTAAACATTAATGGAAAAGATTTATGAATTATAGAGAACATATATTGGCAGCAAACAGCAGCTATAAGAGTTAATAATCATTTGGGAACATTTCAGAGCATAAAGAGGGGAAGTGCAACAAAGATGTGATTTGATTAAAAAATGCCTCAGTCCGACCAATGGGAAGACAGAAGTAATCGTGATTTGCAGGAAAAGAATAGTGCCTATTTGTCAAATAAAAGTCATAGGTGTTATTTTAGGACAGGTATAGAAATTTCCATCATTGATTGGTTTTTGTGGATGTCTTTTGTTGCCTCTTCTATTTTTACTGGCATTAGACTGGATTATGAAGACAGCAACTGCTAACACCAAGAATGGAATTCAGTGGATCCCTACAAAACAGCTTGTTGATATGTACTTCACTGGTGATATTTCTCTTCTGTCCCACTGACGGAATCAGATGGAAGCTAAATTAAATATACATGATGCGAGATCACAACAGCTAGGTCTAAAAATCCATAAGGGAAAGACAAAGATTACAAATATAAATCAGGCAAACGGTAATGTGGTTTTTCTTAATGGTATCCCGTTCTAAGATGTGGAGTCGTACACCTATTTGGACAGTATTGTAGATAAAGATATGGAAAACTGATAGAGATATTTAAATGCTAATATAAAAAGTGAGAGGAGCTTTCATAGACTAGGGAATTTGTGGAGGTGAAGTAAAATGTTGAATATTGAAAGGTAAGTGTAGACTTAATGACCAATGCTGCCTTGCATGGACTTGTACAAGTTTATGAATAATTTCTCATTTTTCAAAGTTGAATTATACTTAGCACTTCTCCCCACTGATCTGTTGCAGAAAGCATCAGGGAAATCTTAGACAAACATGTTAAAGTATCTTTCAAGCGACTTGTTAAGATGGAAATCAGACCTGACAAGATGGAGAGCCGAATTTTGGTATGCCTTATTTACATAAATTTATGTTTAGACAGTTAATTTAAAGCTAAAGCATTCTACCCAGATATGGATACTGTGTTTGTTCTGCTGCACTGTTCACTTGATCCCAGTGAGGCATCACCAAGTCCGCTTTATCATAAAGTAGCTCAATGCCAAAGCTAAAAAATCATTGTGTTACATGAGAATAAGTTGATTTTAACATGCATTTCATAAGAATAGATGTAGTTTGAAAGGGAGAAAATAACTAAGATTCCAGTCTTTACACTGAAATACAACTTTTTAAACTGTAAAATTACACAAAAATGTAGATAGAGTACATACATTAAAAGCTGGCTGGCTTTAGTCACATGATACATGAACTGGTTTTAGCTAGTCAGGATCACTTTCTTGCTCTCTTAAAGGTCCTAGTATGGAGAGTTGTTGATTTTTAGCTGTTGTTAGAAAATGATAAATGAAGAAATAACATCACTGCACTGGGACCCCATGTATGCTGCTTCCTCAGTAGCCACTGAAGTGTTTCCATATTAATAATGCCTATTGCAGCCTGATTGAAAGTTTGCCTGTTTTTCCACCTCAGGGTAGAACATCCTAAACTCTCTGATCACTCCCAGCTGAAGCCTTCTACCCAGATATGTCTCCTCTGATCACTCCCAGCTAAAGCATTCTACCCAGATATGTCTCCTCTGATCACTCCCAGCTAAAGCATTCTACCCAGATATGAACCCTCTGATCACTCCCAGCTAAAGCATTCTACCCAGATATGGATACTGTGTTTGTTCTGCTGCACTGTTCACTTGATCCCAGTGAGGCATCACCAAGTCCGCTTTATCATAAAGTAGCTCAATGCCATAGCTAATCTGAATATGCTCATAACCATACAAATCCAAATGTCCAGGGCCAAAAATCCACAATATGTTATTTATCTATGAGCGCAAGACACAAGTTTCTTTTTTCTGAAACATACTCTGTGAATCACTTATAATTACAGCATGTTTGGCTTTACTGCTCTTCAGCCTTCAGAAAGCTGTCATTTTTGCTTCTGCATCCATCTGCATGCTGTATCTTGTAGCACTATACACGAGGCTTTCTTTAAAAAAAATTAAAATAAATGAAACCTTCCATTCTCCTTTGCAGTAAAACCCCTTCCACTCTTTTTTGCCTCCCACTAGAGATCTATCTATGTATATGATATAAGCTGGGCGTAGTTGAACTTTAACATAATAGCAAAGGCATCAAACAGGCACAGAATTTAAATGCTGGGACAGCCAGCCTTTCCCATACAACAGAAGACAATCCCAGTTGGCACAAAGAAACATCTCATGCAAAGCATATTTATACTTCCACTGCCATACATAGTCACTCACAGGAAAACAGAAACAAAATTATTGTCTATAGAAATGAGATGTTTGAGAACAGCAAAGGAGCAGGAAGAAGAGACAAAATCAGAGTGAAGTCTTAAGAGAAAAAGTTGGCATAGAACCATTCCTAAACTACATACAAAGACAAGAAATAAAATGGTTCACTTAGAATGCCATGATACTATACCACACACAGCATATATATAAAAAAAAAAGCAGAGTGGGGTACAAATAGCTTGAGATAGACTAAGAACACGATGGAAAGGTAAGATCAGATAAACTCTACAACAGTACAGTGTCTTTTGTTTGGGCAGCCACCCTGTATCTTCCTTGACACCTGAACAGTGTAAGAGGAAGTAAAAGTGAAGAAGAAGAAGAAGAAGAAAGCACTGTTTCTTGACATAAGGATGATTCCAGCAATCTGAACAGTAGACAGGCTTGATGTTGTAACAGTACTAGTCTGTCAGTTGTAGTTGGCCTGGCCTCCTTTTAGTCCTGCAGGACTATAGAGTTGTGCCATAGGGCAGGTGCCCAACAGAACTTCTGATGATTTAATAGTCTGATATGAGTGTGACAGTATGTCACAGTTTTTAGTCTGTAAGATGAGGCAGATCCCGCAGCATACTTGTGCCCCTTGGCCTAAGTTAGTTGGATCAGATTTCACTCAGATAGTTCGAGTCCATTTTGCACGTTTTCTCTAGGAAGATATATCTGCTGCAGCTCTCTCCTATGTTTCTGTATATATGCCAAGAGTTTTCATATCCTTTTTACAGACATCCTTATACCATACTTATGTGTCTTCCAATTGGCCTCTTCCCTGTCATTAGTTCTCAAAAAAGGATATCATTGGGAATACATCCAACCTCCATGTGAGGCAGGCATTTTGGAAGGCCACTGAAATCATATACCTCCATACAAGATCCAGTGACAGACTTTGTAACGCAGTGAGACTCAGGGGGAAGACCAAAATAAAATAAAGATGCATAAGAGAATTACTCTCTGCAGATGCAGCAGCACTGACTACCCATACAGCAGAAGACCTGCATTGATAATGGTCTGTAAATACACTAGACAAAGATAGGATTAGTAACCCGTACATTGTCATCTTAGTGTCTGAATCATTGATAAAGAAATCATAGACGGTTCAGTATCCTTGGTATCCCTGATTCAGCTTACAGCTACTACTTCTCCCCCTCCTTTCATCTTTATGTAGTTAAGACTCCCAACTAAGTCTCTGTATATTTTGCCATTGCCTACATCTCTTTCTGTGTCCTCCTCACATTGTTTATCCCTGTCTGTATTCACTTCTTCATTTAGTCTTTAGTTCTTCATACATACTATGTTGCCGTGAAGAATCACTTAATTTTACTACCATTTTTCTGAATGTGTGTTTTCTTCACTGCCAACATCTGTACCTTACCTTTGAAATGCTGGATTTGTTAGTTATCTCCACAGGCTCTACATTAATGATTATACTGTTTTAATCATTTTCTGTGCTGGTACCAGGTAATGAATATTGGTTGCTGATTGGAAATTGTGTTTTAGTACTTGTTGGTCTTTCTTATCCCTAAGTAGTACTGATTTGGTATTACGTTAAATATTGAGCTTAGCGCTAGGTTTTATTTATTTTCAGGATTCTTGAAAGTGTAGAAAGGCCTATTGCATCAAAAGTAATATTCTGTGAAAATAACTTAAATATATTAAAAATTGAGTACACATATTCTCATTCTGTATCTTCCTCATGTATTTTAGGCGCTGTCACCTTGCCGATTATTCCTACTGACTGCAAAGGTGCCTTCCAAGGTGAGTAAAATAGTTATTTGTTTAAAACCTAACATGCAAACTTTTATTACAGTATATCTGCACTACAAAACTACAAAATAATATCAGTGACTTTAGGTAGCATCTGCCTGTGGTAATATAACAACTAACTGGAATAGAAAAGTTAATGTGTTCTATAAAAATTTTTGTACTGTGGCTTCATTTATTCCATAGGTTGACTGTGTTAATCTATTCAGTTGCTTGAAGTGTAAAGAGTTAAATCAACAGCAGTCAGAAGCAAAAAGAGCTCAGTCTGAGACTGTGAAATATTTTGTGACACTTTTATTCATGAAATGTATCTAGCATTACAGTATCACATTCAAATCACCACAAACAAGGAAGTTGACTGCTTTGGTAATGAGATGATATTAATTATTTTAAGTAGCAGCTTTATATGTAAGACGTTGATAATGCAACAGCTGCATAGCACAGAGAGATTTAACCCCTTCTGTTGAAAATGTTAACTATAATAACTCTATTCTTTCCATGGTTTGACCATGGTTAACCTGTTCAAACATCAGTGTTTATGTCTTTGAAATCCTTGGAAAAAACCTGTTAACATAGCATCTGGCATAGGCACACACAAAAAAGAATCAAGTCTCAGATATTCAAATTTGATTTTACTGACACTTTTATTCATCAGTAATATATCATATCACACTTTTACTTATTATCAAAGACAAGGAAGTTAACAGTTTAGGCTACAAGATCATATTTTTTAAGAAGTGGCTGCTAGTGATAGTAATTAGTTGTTAGTCGAGGTTCCAGCTTCATTGCAGACGTGTTGCTCCATAACTGCTCCTTTCCAGTGTCTGTGGAAATAACACAAAATGCTCTTCACTGTCTCATTCAAAAACTAGTGAAAAACTTGTCAGTCCTAACAAAATCATCCTGAAGCTCAACACAGACCAATTGTCAGATGTGCCAATAAAAAAATGGGTGGAGAATAAAACAAACAAGGCAGTCTTCCAAAGAACAGAAGCAAACTGTAATCTCTTTAGAGATATTAGTTGTAGACAGCCAAGATGTTTGGTCAAATTATGAGGACAAATAAACTTGATAACTTGGTTACAAGTCCATTTGTTCGATAATTTGACTGTAAATCTGTTCAGAACTGATGATTATTTCTTGAACAAAATTGCTTGATTGCTTGGACTAGAAAGAGTTAACCTGTTACTTTGTTAATGTTGCTGTAAGTCTAATTCTTTTTTCTTTTTTATATTTGACTATGATAATCTGTTTTGATACCTAGTTTATTTCTTTAAACAGCTTTGAATAGAAAATGTTCAAAAAAGAACTATCAGGGACACAGGTCTGAGACATTCTGGTTTTATTTTACTGACAAATTTGTTCATAACTTCTGCATAGCTGTAACAATTGATGGTAAAGATCTGAGAATAATAAAAAAAACATATACTGGCAACAAGAAACTGCTATAAGGATTGGCAATAAAGTTGGAACTTTTCAAAACATCAAACAAGACGCTAAACAGGGATGTGTACTTTCACCCGATCTATTCAATTTGTACAGTGAAATAATAATTAGATCTATAATTAGATTCCAATGTGTGCCAGAAATATAAGTTGGTGGGCATATTGTTAACAATGTGCGGTAGGCTGATATAGTTTTAATCGCTGAAAATGAAACACAACTGCAAGAAACGATTCACATAATTGTGCTGACGATATAGTTTTGGTCACTGAAAATGAAACACAACTGCAAGAAATGATACATATAATTGTAACAGAAAGTGAAAACAAGGATCTTAGCTTGAAGAGCAGAAGAAAGTAATGGTAATTACAAAGAAAACTGACCCTCCAAAATGCAGCAGCAAAGTAAATGGAACAAACCTCAAGCAAGTTGATATGTTTAAGTACTTGGGTACCCTGATTACATCATTTGGAAGATGTATTAAGGAAGTTAAATGTTGAATAGCTCAAGTAAAGGCAGCATTTTACAAATTTAAGAATATTTTATACAATCTTTCTTTGTCAGTTGAGACGAGAAAGAAAATTCGCAGAAGAGACATAAATTCTGTCCTGATATATGGATGTGAATCAAGTTAGTGAATTAGTGAATAATTATTTTGAAGCTGCGCAGATGTGGTTTTATAGACAAATGCTGAGAATACCCTGGACAGATAAGAAGAGTAATAAAGATATCTTGTAATAAACTGACTCACAAATAAAACTGATTGCCCACTTCAGAAAGAGACAATCTACATTCTTTGGTCATATGATGAGAAGGTGAAAATGGAATACATCGTGACAGTAGAAAAGTTGGAGGAAAGGAGATCCTGAGGGAGTCCGAGAGAAAAGATGCTGGACAGTTTGACATCATGGCATAGAGAATCATCTGTAAAAATTGATTGAAAATACACGAGACAGAAGGTTGTAGATAGGCATGACTACCACCGCCACATGGCATAGACCTTAAGAAGAAGAAGCACTACAAATATTCCTACAGTGCTTAGAGATTAGAGAAACCATTTCACAGTGCAATCCTCAACTTTTACCAAGATTGATTCCCCTGGCCACCGGTTGCTTAGGCATACAATATGAGAATGGAAACATCAAGATGCAGAGGAAGGCAAAGAAGAACATGTATAGATGGAGTTAACAGCTTGCTGAAACTCAACGGTATCACTGTTCAACAAGATAATGAGCGTGTACTATCCTGGAAACCAATCATTAATTGTGCTAGTGACACCTAACAGCATTAAGCAAAAAAAAAAATACAATAGATAGATAGATACCCATGGTGGGCAGTTTAGAAAAATACCATTCTAAGGCAGTAGTACGAAAGTTGTATTGTTGAAAGGACTAGGGCCTCACTCACAGTTAGCACTGGATGCATTGCATCCAACGTCCATTGTGGTGACGACACAGTTTTTTAGTTGATTTAATGTTTGTATCATAAATGTCACAGCAGACAAGGATGACAAGGAAGTCGACTGTAAGGAACCAGTTGTTCACATAAATGTAACATCAGAGAGAGATCTCTGTCAGACCTTAGACCAGTGGTCTCTAACCGTGTTCACATAAATGTAACATCTGAGGCAGATCTCTGTCAGGCCTTAGACCAGTGTTCTCTAACCGTGTTCACATAAATGTAACATCTGAGGCAGATCTCTGTCAGGCCTTAGACCAGTGGTCTCTAACCGTGTTCACATAAATTTAACATCAGAGGGAGATCTCTGTCAGACCTTAGACCAGTGGTCTCTAACCGTGTTCACATAAATGTAACATCTGAGGCAGATCTCTGTCAGGCCTTAGACCAGTGGTCTCTATAGTTTAAAAACCACCCTAACAATATCCTCTGTTTCAAAACCATCATGTTATAGTCGAAATAAGTGGCTTCAAAAAGATGGCCTCTGAATAGGTCATCCAAACATTTTTCATTTACTCGGCAAACTGCCAGAGCTATCAATTAGGCTCAGTAACCAATTCCACGTTTTTGGAATTACAGAAAGTCGCTTGAACGACAAAATTAGTGACAACGAAATCACCATTGGTGGTTTTACAGTAATTCGCAAAGATGCAATAAGAAGATTAGAGACTGGCATAGCAGTTTATATTTCGAATCATTTCAAATATTCACGTAGATTTAATTTAGAATATAAAAATATTGATTGTATCTGGCTGGAGGTTAAGCCGTTAAACCAGCAGTCACTTCTCGTTGGCTATCTTTATCGAAATCCCAGTGAAGACAACAACTGGTATGACGACTTTACTTCTATGATGGACACAGTTTTTAGTGTAGGGAAAGAAATTATTCTTCTAGGCGATTTTAACATTGACATAAATAAACCCAACCAGACATGGGAAGATATCATTCTTTCATACAACCTCAAACAGTTAATTAACTTTCCCACTAGAGTTACAGAAACATCCTCAACACTAATTGATCATATCTATGTCTCTCACCCAAAAAATATTATTGAATGTTCTGTCCCCGCTACGGCTATTAGCGATCATTATCCTGTATGCTGTGTATGGGCGAAAATTGGTTTTAAAACACCTAAAGATAAACATATCGCAGTTAAATTTAGAAATTTCAAAACTTTGAATCCTGACTCTTTTTTACTAGATTTGCGAAACGCACAGCTAGACCATGTTTATCAGCTTCCTGAACCGGACGATGCTATAGCCTACTGGACGAAAACAGTATATAGTGTGTTTGATAAACATGTGCTAATTAAAGAACTTAGAGTAAAACATCAAACGAAATCACCATGGATTACTAGCGAGGTTCTGGAAATTATGAGAGAAAGAGATACAGCACACAAGAATAAAAACCACGATTTTTTCTGTAAACTGAGAAATAAGGTAAAATATTTAATTCGTAAAAATAAGAAAGATCATTTAAAAAAATTTATTACAGATAAAACAAAAAATGCAGACATATGGAGGGCTATCAACATCCTAACCAATAAGCATTCTTCAGATCAATCAAAACCAAATTATCTAACGTGTGATGATTTTAGTTGTTTCTTCAAATCAGAAATAGAGAATTTAAAGTCCACAATACCAGACTCACAGTGTGACTTAAGCTTACTAGCATCATTCTGTGAGGAAAAATGCACTACGACTATCCCTTCTGAGATTCCCCTTATGTCTGTTGCTGAAGTGTATAATTATCTCATCAACTTCAAGCAAACAAACTCCTCTGGCTTGGATGGAATCAGTAATCGAATCCTTTGATGTGCTGCACCTGTCGTTAGTGATTCCTTAACGTTTATATATAATCAGTGCCAAGAACTACTTTCCATCAGCATTTAAAATTGCCAAGGTTTATCCTCTGCTTAAATCTGGTTCAGCTGACAACAATTCTCTAGGCAACTATAGACCCATTTATCTACTATCTTCACTATCTAAACCACTAGAGAAACACATTCATAAAATAATGTTTCAGCATTTAAATAACAACAGTCTAATAGTCGATAGCCAGTCAGGGTTCAGACCTAAACACTCTTGTCAAAC